TGCATCACACGTGGTCTTGTCGCTTGCTGCGTGTTTGCCCCTGTTGTTTCAACAAATACCTCATGTATAACAGCTCATGAAAACTTTGAGGCAGTGACTCGGTGTGTCATTTTCTAAATTTATATCAGTCAAACACAATATGATATAAAAAAACAGTGTCTGCAGCGAGTCAAGAGCGAGTGTTTGTATTACGATTAGGGTGAAGAGAATGTGATCTATGAAATGCAATTTAAAATGAATGCAGTTCTAAAACTCAGTCTAAAAAAACTTAACTTAAAAATCAAAAATATACTATCTGTAAAACTATTTTTCTGTTTTAAACATTTTTGTAAGTATGACATTTTTACGAGCCATTTGTTTTACTTGTGTAAAGAAAAATGTAATTTGAAAAAAGTGAAAAATAAAAACAAAATAAAAACTTCCACTAAATCTGAGAAAACAGCAAAGGTACCCACACAACCTTTTTTTTTTTTTTTAATGGTCTGTGATGTACTGTTGATCTCTCCAGGGTGGAACCTGCATTTTGGCCATAGATTGCTGGTGGAGATAAACACCGTGATCCAGACAGAATAAACGGGATGGATGGATGGATGGATGGATGGCTTTTAAACTTTCAATTCTGGATTGCATTCTTTTCACATTTGTATTTTGAAAAAAATCTTTTTTTTTCCAATGTCCATTTACAAAAATAAAAATAATGAAACAAATTTAACTCCATAGTTCAATCTATTCCTGCACAAAAATGAAAAGACAATGGTTTTTAAGGATTCAGTGAAAGATTGTACAGCTGTGCTTGAAAGTTTGGAGACCTTTCCATTAAAGACAGAAAAAAATAAATAAATCAGCAGTCAGTAAAATAAATCGAAATTGATAAAAGCAATAAATAAATATGAATGATTAAAAAATGGTAATAGATAGATAGATAGATAGATAGATAGATAGATAGATAGATAGATAGATAGATAGATAGATAGATAGATAGATAGATAGATAGATAGATCCCAGACTAAGTATTTTACAATACTTTGAGGCAATCACTGCAATCAGGTATTTTGTGTAATGGTCATAAAATGTGCAGACTTCGGCACATGTTCACACGTATGTTTGTTCGCTATTCTTGAGCAAGGAGCTTTACTTTTTCTGGGACTTTTTGGAATTAATTTTTATAACAAAAAGTCAAAATCTATATTTTATTTTATTAAATTATAATTTCAATTCAATTTCAATTCAGTTTATTTCTATTTTGCCAATGCACAACACAAGTCATCTCAAGGCACTTTACAGTTCACCAGATCATACAGTCAGATTGATTCAAAGTTTTCTATCTAAGGAAAACCAGTTGATTGCATCGACTCATTGACTCAAAAGCAATTTCTAACACTAAGCATGCTTGGAGTGACAGTGGAGAGGAAAAACTCCCTTTTAACAGGAAAAAACCTCCAGCAGAACCAGGCTCAGTGTGAGCGGCCATCTGCTGAGGCCGACTGGGGTTCAAGGAGACAGAAGCAGAGATAGAAAAAGCAGCTGTAAAAGGCGGCCCCATCCAGGAAACACACAGCCAGGCAGACGAGCTCCAAGCCACCCCCCCATTTCAGAGGATGAAAGAGAGCACATCCAGTTAGTCACAGTCAGAGAAACAGGACTACACTGGAAAACAGGCCGATCTCCAACATCTAGAAACAAAGGTGTTGATGGCAGCAGCACAGATGATATTCCTCTCCAGGATGGAGTCACAGCCAAACAGGGAAAGACCAGATGAAGCTACTATAAGAAAAAGCAGAGAGAGCAGAACGTTAGAGATTGAACTAATAGATTCTGCAGAGTGGGAGAATAGAGATAGAATGAAGCAGAATGATGAAATATGGTTCCCTATGTCCCCCAGCAGTCTAAGCCTATAGCAGCATAACTATAGAGATAGCTCAGGATAACCTAAATTAGCCTAGTAATTTCTTATTTATTATTACTGTTTTCAGTTTTGTGTTATTTAGATAACTATTGTGAATGTAGCATTTTGTTCAATGGGTGGGTTTATGAATCCAGTCTTTCTCACTAAGCTAAATCTGGCAGACATTTCTCCAACCACAGCGTTTAGTGTTTGTTTTCTCCTTCCGATGAGTCCTCACTAACAGCCTCAGCTGTCACTATCTGCCCCTTGATGAAGGCTCATCAATAAAGCAGTAGGTGCATAACTTTTACTTGTTCCACCTCTACTGAAGTTCCTTCCATTGCTGTGTTACCATGGCAACTTTACAGCCAAATTACACTCCTCTTATTGGCAGGTTAAACAGCCCCAGTTTGCTTCCACCGGCTGGAAAATACAACAATTAATTAATTATAGGTGTGGAGGCAACCAATCATAATCTGGAGTTTTTTCCCCCCTGTTCACTAACAATCTGAAAAATCAGGTTGGCCGTCATAAAATAACTTTTATTACGAACAGAGAGAAACCCAGAACCATCCATCCATCCATCCAATAATGAAGTATTTACCATCAGTTTGATTCTAGGCTATCATGGAGATTGGAAAACGACTGAACACAAGAAAAATGATAAATATATAATCTTATGCTGTTCGGTTGCAGAAGAAATGCCAAAAAGGACCACGAGCAAAATCCAGTCTTAAGTTGCTCCGCAGTCCAGATGTGCAGTGCGCCTCCACAACACCCCCGCGGAGCTGCGGGAACACGCAAAGCCTCCGCAAGGAGAGACGACATGGGAAGCAGGCTGCTGCAGCTGTCAAAATAAAAGCCCCGCTCCAAATGGGTTTAAATAATAAACTGGACAGCACTGAGCTCCCAGCTGAGTCTTTCCTTTTTATCATAGTCTGTAAATCTCCATTCTGATGCAATAAAGAGTCCAGAAGAAAACAAAAAGAAAAGCAGAAAGAAAGTTTTTCTTTAACCTAAAAGTTTTATAACATGTAAATTGCAATAAATAGTCATTGTTGTCATTAATATTTAAGTGCTCCCCACAGCATAGCATATAGTGCCCTTTACTCATATGTAATACAGTACTACACTAATGTACTATGATAGAGCACAACATTTATGGTATAGCATGGCATATTCCCATATACTATACCACACAATACTACTATACTATTCTATGCTATGCTATAGTACTCAATATTGGATTTGACCATGACATACTATACTCTACACTACTGTACTATACTACACTGTATTGCACTATACTACATTACACTATACTATACTATATGATACTACACTATACTTTACTATACTATACTCTAATATACTATACTATACTATACCATACTATACTATACTATACTATAGTATACTATACTATACTATACTATACTATACTATACTATACTATACCATACTATGCTATATTGTAAATTACAAGGAATGAATGAACATGTTAAGTTTATTTCAGCTAATAAAATACACTATTTACTTTAGTACATGCAAGAATCTGAATTATGTGGATAAACATCTAATCATGTTTACAATCATACTATGTACTTTACTATGTAGAACCAAGGTTGACAGGGTAGAATATACTGGTGAAGGTTCCCAGGATGGAATAGTGTAGTTTAATGGTACATAATTAGTTTGCACCATATCATTATAGTATAATACATTTAATAGGATGGATGGAACTTTACTATATTTATACTTCATAAGTCTAAGAGTATTAGGGCCAGGCTAGAGATAAAATCGTAACATTACGAGGATAAAGTCGTAAAGTTATGAGAATATATACGTAAAATTACGAGAATAAAGTCGCAATGAGAATAGTCATAAAATTACGAGAATAAAGTTGTAAATGTACGAGACTAAAGTCATAACATTCGAGAATGAAGTCGTAAATTACGAGAATAAAGTCGTAAAATTACAAAAATAAAGTGGTCCTAGTCCTAAAGTCCTAAAACTACGGGAAACAAGTTGTATTTTATTACAACTCCTACAAGAAGCACTTTCTTCCATAAAATAAGGAATTTTTAGCATCATGTAAAGTAATACTTTGACATCGGTTTGACAAATAAGGAAATTGTTATTATTCTTGTAATATTACAACTTTATTCTCGTAATATTACAACTTTATTCTCGTAATGTTACGACTTTATTCTCCTAATGTTACGACTTTATTCTCCTAATGTTACGACTTTTTTCTCCTAATGTTACGACTTTATTCTCATAATATTCCGACTTTATTCTCGTAATGTTACGACTTTATTCTCGTAATGTTATGACTTTATTTTCGTAATTTTATGACTTTATTCTCGTAATATTACGACTTTATTCTCTTAATGTTACGACTTTATGCTCGTAATGTTATGACTTTATTCTTGTAATATTACGACTTTATTCTCGTAATATTACAACTTTATTCTCATAATGTTATGAATTTATTCTCGTAATTTGACCACTTTATTCTCGTAATATTAGGCCTTTATTCTCGTAGTGTTACGACTTTTTTTCGTAATATTACGACTTTATTCTCATAATGTTATGACTTTATTCTTGTAATATTACGCCTTTATTCTCGTAATATTACAACTTTATTCTCATAATGTTATGACTTTATTCTCGTAATATTACGCCTTTATTCTCGTAGTGTTACAACCTTTTTCGTAATATTACAACTTTATTCTCGTAATGTTATGACTTTATTGTCGTAATGTTATGACTTTATTCTCGTAATTCTATGACTTTATTCTCGTAATATTACGACTTTATTCTCGTAATGTTATGACTATTCTTGTAATATTACGACTTTATTCTCGTAATATTACGCCTTTATTCTCGTAGTGTTATGACTTTTTTTTCGTAATATTACGACTTTATTCTCGTAATGTTATGACTTTATCGTAATGTTACGACTTTATTCTCGTAATAGAAAAAAAAAATCTGTCATGGCCCTAATACTTTGTCGTATAATATAAAAAAGAGAATGAGCTGAATTATTATTATTATTTTATGTTTTAAACTCCCTGACCGGAAGCTGGTCGTGTTCTCTGGGTGTAACTTGACCAACGTGGGAAAAACGGAGCAGAAGAGCGAAACATGGCGACTTCGAACAATCCGCGGAAATTCAGCGAGAAAATCGCTTTACACAACCAGAAGCAGGCAGAGGAGACAGCGGCGTTTGAGGAGGTGATGAAGGACCTGAGCATTACCCGGGCAGCCAGGGTGAGCAGCACACTGCACAGCTTCATTGGTTTGGAAGGAGCTGTCTGTCCGTCTGTCTGTCTGTCAGATGCGCGCAGCATTCAGGCAGCGATGGTAAACAATAACAAACCATATCCTCCGCCAGCTGCAGCTGTGATCCCCCCTCAGCCCACAGCACATGGAGCAGGCAGGAGATTTCCACCCTGCGTGGGTCATGTGGACCTGTGGGACTCCGACCTTAAAAAGTTATTCTAATGTTTAGCTTTGCGGTGATACCGAAGAGGCGTGCATGCCTGTTTGACAGCGCGCGCGCCTCCTCCTCCTCCTCCTCCTCATCATCATCATCATCATCCTCAACCTTTTTAGATTTAAACCTTCTAACGAAAAGATATAGTGAAATAATTGATTGTGGTTGTATTTCCATCGCCTCCATGCAGGCCGGTGACATGTGGTGTGCATGAAGCTCCTCAGGCCTGTGCACTGATACACAAATATTAAAAGCCCTGAGATTACCAGAAATTTAAGCCACACAGCAGAAGCTTTTAGAGCAAATCCAGATGAGAGGGGCTGGGCTGCAGCTGCTGAGTGGAAACACGGTCCTGATTGCTGTTACAGTGGAAATGGAAATGTCATGAGAATGCAGGCAGGTCAGGTGAAAGACCAGGGGAGGTGGCATCCACCACTTTCCCTCTCTTTGCCTTTTAAATATTGCTTTCATTGAGGTCAAAGCGTCTTTTCGAGCATATAATCCTCCACTACTGATTACTGCAGATGTTTAAAGATGGAGAAACTCAGAGGTCAGAGGATTATAAAGATGAAACTGTGTTGCAGGCATATAGTAATAGTTCTGATCAGATTTACAGAGAGGAGGACTAGGGAGGTCCCTTTAATGTGAAAAGTATGGCGTGAAATTAGTGTCATTATTGTTGCAATCAAAAAATATATTTTAAAATGAAGAAAAGGAATTTTGAAAACTTTTTTAATAAAAGTAAACATGTTTAGTGTAAATAACTATTTTCACATTTTATAATGCTCCCCTCTGGGAAGAGGCTTCGAAGCATCTTAAAGGAATAGTACACCCAAAACATGATTAGCCTTCATTTTCTACTCACCCCCATGCTGAACAACACTCTGGAGTACTTTTTTGATATCTCAAATGCATCTGGAGATCTGGGAGGCTTCTTGCTGTCTTCTGACATTCAAATAATGGAGGTCTATGGTGTCCGAGGCAGAAAGGTCCATAAAAGTCCACAAAAACGTGTCAATATTCCTCCATACTGCTCGTCCAATGTATTCCAAGTGTCCTGAGTGGGTAGCGTCCATAATTTACTCGAAACGAAGTCATTTAGAATGTTTTTAGAGCATGAACAGTAGTTTATAGGATTTCCTAGAAGCGCGTTCACGAGTCTACGGAAACCGCAGCACACCAAACCAGACGAAAGTGCGCATTCAGCGTCTGCTCTGCCGATAATGCAAGCGTAGAAGAAGAAATGTGCTGTTTACCTGTGCAAAGAAAGAAACAACGAAAGAAAAATGTCTGAGGACTTCAGTGTTGAGGAAGAGCATGAGTTCTTTGCCGAGCTGAATGCGCACTTTCATCTGGTTTGGTCTGCCGCGGTTTCCGTAGACTCGTGAACGCGCTTTTAGGAAATCCTATACACTACTGTTTATGCTCTAAAAACATTCTAAATGACTTTGTTTCGAGTAAATTATGGACCCTACCCACTCAGGACACTTGGAATACATTGGACGAGCAGTATGGAGGAATATTGACACGTTTTTTGTGGACTTTTATGGACCTTTCTGCCTCGGGCGCCATAGACCTCCATTATTTGAATGTCAGCAGACAGCAAGAAGCCTCCCAGATCTCCAGATGCATTTGAGATATCAAAAAAGTACTCCAGAGTGTTGTTCAGCATGGGGGTGAGTAGAAAATGAAGGCTAATCATGTTTTGGGTGTACTATTCCTTTAAGCAGGTCCAGCAGATTCCAAAATAGCTTCTTCCACAGTGCCATTAGGCTGCTGAATGTTGAATAAATCGAGAGAAAAAAAGCGATAAATGTTGGAAAAACTGCAAATCATCTCAGTCTTATGTTTACTTTTGATCAGCAGGTTTACATTTTATCACTGCTGCACTTTTAGAAATGGAAATGTCTTGAGAACTGTACTGAACAAAATGTCGCATTGTATACACATTGTGTGAACAAAATGACAATAAAGTTTGTCTGGGTCTATTCCATTTAAAGGTATAGAGGACAATCTTTTATTTCCGCATGGATCATCTAAATAAGTGGTCCTCCTACTTGTCAATCATTCTGGTGATATCTTTACATAAGGCCGTCCTACTTGCTCGTCCCGTTAGCTATCTTTTTCTGCGCACTTTCAGGCGTATATCCGTGGTGACCTATGGTTTCAGACAGTCATTGAAGCTCACCTTTCTCCCCGTGGTTCTTTGAAAATGGCCGAGGGTCGTAAGAGAAAAAGTGTCTACGAAGTTTATGAGAAGAAAAGAAAGGCCTCAGAAGAGTCAGATGTATCCCAGAATGCTTTGCACAGAGAGCTCTCCTCACAAAGCATTATGGGATTTTTCTGTCAGATACTTTTCAGGTACTAGAGCTCTGTTTGCTTTAGTCTCATCATTAAAGAATAGAATAGAATAGATGTTTACAGCATTAAAAAGATTACAGAAAAAAAATCTTATTATTCAATTATTAGTGTTGCTTTTATTAGGACGCTGTGAAAAACTTGTTTCTACAACAAAATATATATATGAATGAATACATATATATATCCCAAAAGGTAATTATAGATTAGTATAAGTACATTTTTGTTTATTCAGTGAGTGTGTAGTACAGCTGGCACAATGTATATATATTTGACATATAATTATGTATTTTTTATTTATCATGTTGTGAAAAAGTAAATGAAATGGATCCAGGATTAGTAGAAAAAAAAAGTAAAAACTGAAAATTATCCTTTGTTGTATTTTTCGCCCATGAACATTTCCATTTTTTCACCTGTGCAATGCATGCTGGGTAGATGACGTGGTTAGGTCCTACTGGACTGGAACCTGCAGAGTAAACACAGGAAGGCTAACATTACCAGTTGTTTTTTTATTGCATGGAGTTTGACTGGTATATTTATACAACGCCACACTGCCTCTTTTATGAGCCATTATACATGACATATATGTTGATGCTAACAGATGTTATCAGATTCTGATCTGCTGTTTACTTTATTAGCTAGCGCTAACACCATTAGCATAATGTAACGTAAAATTAAAATCAAATCTGAAGATAATGAAATATGTTTAAAGTGACTGTGAAGCATCTTTAAGTTGTTGTAACACAATGGTTTTATATATCAGAGAAAATGTGTTGACCCCGATGCTAAATATAAACAGCCTCAGTTAGAAACTGGAGCCCTTTGTAGCATAGCTTTCCATGGGTTAGTGACATGGTTTTAGTTGTCTTTAAGTTTTATCTTTGAGTTTTCATTGGTTTTATTTCCATTTTGTGTTATTCTTATAATTTTTTATTGTATTTGAGTTGTTATGTATTTCTTGTTGCCCTCTTGTGTCAGTCTCTTTTTCCCCTAGCTCCCTTCTAGCCTCCTCTGTTCACACCTGCTCCCAATCTGCTAATTAGCCTGGTCTTTATTTCTCTCCCATATATGCACCTCCTGTTACTGTTTGCTGGTTTGTCGTTGTTTCTTCCCTTTCCAGTATTTTTGTGGATCCTAAGAATTTATGTTTTTGTATTTCTGCTTGTGTTGCCTTCTTTGGATAAATAAATCTGCATAAACCCCCTTCAGCTTATGTCTCTGCATTTGGGTCCTCCACTGGAACCTCCTCCCAACCTGACAGTTAGCATCTCCTAGAAGCAGCCAAACTGACATCAGCTTCTTCAGCCGACCCTCTCCACTTTCTCAACATTATCACCTCTTTTTATTTATACATTCTCATAAATTTAAACTGTTCAACTGAAAATGTTTAATGTTAGTAATTGCTGATTTGGCTGGACAGAGCTAGCGCTACAGGACCTAGCATACGTCGTTTACCAGGAATGACAGCATTTTATTTAAATTAATTCAAACTAAACAGCTTACAATGTTTTAATAATTTTTTTCTTTTTACAAAAAATTTAGTTAAAAAAAATGTAAAAAATGTCAAAGTATATTGTTACAGATATTCAGATTGGTTATAGATATTTATTTTAGTTAGCAGAAACAAATCACACAAGTCCTACGGCGGGGTTAGTCGTTTATCTCTGTAACCTATTAACTTTGAGGGACTTTAAACAAAATCACACAGTTTTAAGGAAGTAGATTGTCCTGCTCCTGGAAAAAATAACAAATTAATGAAATCCTAACAGAACAGTTTAGATTAAAAAACAGTTTGCTGTAAACCTATGGAGGTATCGACTTATTCCCAAAGCAAGTTTGATGGGTGTGAATACTTCCCAGGTTCTTATAATGATTGTGTTCTTTTTCTGTTTACAGCTACAGCTGCAGGACACAAAGTATTTGCAGATGGGATCGAGCCGCGGGCCGTACTACGGAGGCTCTTTGCCAAATGTGAATCAGGTTGGAAACTGCACTGCTGATCTGCCTTTTCAGGTGAGGCGTCGCTCATAAACTCCTGCATTGTACAGAACCATGAACGAACTGTTCAGGTAGACCGAAGGGCGGTTTTTAGAGGTCATAACACTCTGAGAGACACTGAGCCCTATTTTTTGAGGTAGAGGAGAAGAAAACTACACCAGAACTGGACTGAAGGTTTAGGATGGATTTAAAGAAAATTCAAATGCTGCAGTGCATGCTGGGAAAGCTGTACATCTCAGAAACGGACAAATCTGCTCTGATGCATGCTGAGTGAGGAGCAAAACACATTTCTATTGGTCAAGAGCGAGAGTTTTTTATTCGGCATAGAGTGAAGAAAACATAAATGGAAAAGTTTGCAATTTTCTAAACTTATTAAAAAAAAGGGAAATGAAAAAATGAAAATAAAAAATAATTTTCTTAAGGAAAAAAAAGTTGCACCAAGTTAATCCAATTCTAGATTGGCCTTTTTCTTTAGATGCTCATTTATAAAATGTATTCTTTTAAATAATGGAACAATAATGGAACAAAATTCACTCCATAATATTCCTTTTTAAGTAAAGGCTTGAGCTCAGAGTAAAACTATTTGGTATTTTTCTCCTCCTGAAGGGTGATAGAGTTTCTTCCGAGGATTCATTATTTGATCCAAGGTCCCTCTCTCAGATATTACGGTTTTCTAAACAGAAGGAACACACTATCTCCTCTCCAATCCTTCTCTTTTTTATGTTTCGTGTGTTTTAATAAGTCTACTAATTATTGTTTCCCTGGATGTAGATGTCAGCTTCATCCTGACTTATTCTGAGCCTGTCTCTAAGCTGTGTGTAAACAAAGAGGCTCTGTTTAGAAAAAACTAAGCTACAGTATATTCTGCCTGCTGTCAGAGCCTCTCCCAGTAGTTCAACACTTCTAAGTTTATTACCAACACTAGAGTTGACCCTGGTTCTAAAGCAGAACACAGCTTTGTTGAAGTGAAGTTGACTAAACACACTTGGAAGAAGTTTTAGTTGATTTCGAGATGAGAGGGCTTTTGATGAACGCTCGCCTTTGATTATTGTCTCATAGGCATGTAGGGAAGAGCTCAGAGGAAGGTTGGAGTAGTTAAAATGCAGCCATCATGGCCTGTTTCAATTCAAACATTTAATGAGTTAATTGAATGGTTCTTTTTGGAATCATTTTGGTTTTATTTTCATAAAGTAATTATAAAAAGGCTCCTCTGAATCAAAGCTTTGTCTCAAATGTCAGATTTATTCATGAACAGCCGGAGTTAACCTGAGTACTAATGTTTTAAATTCGACATTGAAACCCAGAGAGAATACCCGCTACTGGTTAAAAGCATTCATCACGGAACACGCTTTATAAACAGAATCACAATGGATGTGGAAATAATTCAGAAATGTAAAATTAACAACAGCAAAAACATGCAAACAACATTTTAGAATGGATAATATGACAAACTTGCATTGTCTCCTGAGTGCTACAGTTGAGTAGCAACACTTTACGGGTTCGGATTCACACTCCTAATAGCCTCGCCTTACATTTCTATTTAAAGAAAATCTCTATTTTAAACAGATATAGGGTTCTGCAGTGCAAAGACTGAGTCCGGAGGCTTTTGGTCATTAATGCTTCCCTGGATGGTGACCTTTAATGCACGTCTTCTCTCCTTAATCCCATTTCCTGTCTGCTTACTATCAGAAACAACCTAAAAAGAGAGGCCATTAGTGCCAAAAAAATCCTATTTCTAAAATCTCAACATATTAGTATAACGTAGACTGACTAACATTTAGAAAAATGAGAAATCCAGAGAGCTTAATGAAGATCTAAGAAGGACAGATGAACCTTTGATGACATTGGAACCCTTTTCTGAATAACTAGATTCATAAACCATCAGTTCAAAGATCTGGATATCAATATCAGCTCCTGAGTCACCTTGTTGGAAAGGTATAACAAACTCACCAAAAATCAGTTGAAAAGATGTGATTTACGTCTAAACGAAGTCTATATTTGGTTGAAAAGTGAAGGTGAAAAGCTGTAATTTTTAGATCTTTTATTGGACCAAAGTGGGACAAAATCAGAGTGACCAAACACAGCCCAATTTTCAACTACAGCTATCAGGACTATGACAGACCGCTCAGATAAAGCCTAAAGCCAAGATCTAAATGACGGCTGCTGTTATCTAGGAAGATCCAAACCGTCTCCCTCAGGTGAAAGGAATTTATCAGAACCTTCCAGAACCAGCCTCAGTCACACCTTGCCCATTTAGCCAACATATGCCTGACGTCCCAGGATCTCCTAAAACGCTGGAATACGCTCAACTTTCTATGTATATTTTCAGTTTTGGGCGTATACATAGAGTATTCATACCGAGTCCAGAGTGTATGTCCAAAGACAGCCTAATATATGCATGAGGCACGTAATGCCCATGAAATGATGCACAAGCCACAAGTGTCCTGAGGGGGGCAGCGATGCGCCCGGAGGCGCCCGGTCTGCATAAAAAGATTTATTTGATTGCGGTATTAAAGGCACACTATGCAACATTTTTCAGTTAATTAATGTGTTCCATATCGTTTTGGATGATTAAATGAGTCATTTCAGGTTGAACAAAGGTATTCTCGGCCGCCCTGGTGGTCTGTGGGGGAAATACTGCACTTGCAATTGCAGGAGCACCGACCCGCACCCACAGGCTCAGAAGTCTCGCGAGAGTCAGTCTTGCTTTACGACGAGAACTGCTACACGCCCCCAGTTAAAAGCATTCTCGTTGCTAGCACAGTGGCGATCTTTGTGCAGTTATGCTACGTTCACGCAGCAAAAGCAGCAAAATCACGTCTGCTGCTTCATTTTTGCTGCTTGTACCAGTTTAGTTCTGACGCGCGGCTGAAGCAGCTTTGCTGCTCTGGCTGCGCGGTGCAAAAGTGTGTCTGACGCGCGTTGGGCGGAGCTTCACTATCCTTTCTCTGCCTTGCAGCTATATTTGCTGTGATCAGTGGGAATAAAGTAGTTTTAATATGTGTTTAAGTGAGAAAATACACCTGAAAACGTAATCAGTGCCGTCAGTTCATTCAGATTATTATCCTGCCTTCAATATTTTTTCTGTCGGAGCCGCTCAGACCCCCACATACCAGCGGTGCGCGACAGTAGGAATTCCTTCATCAGCAGCCTCGGCAGCTGGTAGGTGTTTTTCATCTAAATAATCCAAACTGCATATTCTGCCGGCAGATTTCTGCATTTTAAGTCAATTTAGGCGTCAATAAACTGTTTAAGAGAAGTGATCATAGCCTCTGATCATCAGCGCTGTGTCTCTCTCCCTGCATTAGATGATTAAACGCGCCCGACGCGCTGCTTCAGCTGCGTTCACACCGGGGGCAGCTGGCCGTCCGGTCTGAACGTAGCATCAGCTGCTCAGACGCGCTGCGCCTGCTGCTCAAAACGCGCCGCGGGACCTTTTACGCGCGTCAACCATTGACTTTGCATGTAAACTCGCTGCTTCTGTCGAGCCAGCTGCGGTGTGAACGCAGCATTAGTCATTCGTTGCGTTTGCCTGTCTGCTAAGCTCAAAACAACTGCGCCTGGCTTGACGGAGAAACCAGGAGAACAGCTGTGCATATTTATGACAGTGCACTTTTACTTTCGCCCTCTGGGGGGAGCCTCGCTGGAAAATCAACACCGGTTGCATAGTGTACCTTTAACCTAGCTGCTGTTTACCACCCACAAAAAAAAAGAATAAATAAATAAATTAAAAAGAAGAAAAGGAAAGACAGAAGGTTTGCAGTCGCAGCAGATTCAGCATCATGTCTGCTAGTAAGTTTGTTGGTGGTGGGCGTGAACGCAGGGAGGATCCATCACTCACCTTCTGGGTCACCCTATGATGGGGATGAAGTCTGGAGGAGAACTGACGGTTTCCTCCTTTTATACCAATATGCCATTATACAGTAGCTGGAAGTTAGAAACACGTTCAGCGCTCGTCTGGAACACGTCAGATATGCGTTGGAGAGAGGTTCTGGATAAGTTATGCACATGTTACTCAGAGGATTTCGATAATCTAGACGCCACGATTTGATAATTTTCATTAATGATGTGTGATTCTATTAATCCTTGATATTATTTACCTGTTGCGTGTCAGAACTGATGTTTTCCCCAGTAGTTTAGCTAATTAGGCCAGTTCCTCTGTCCGGCTATATACAATTATAATTGTAATTTTGTATGTGGCAAAGATATGGAATGGAATGAGAGCGGCGTCCTTCAGCTAAGAACATTATTTTAATAAGGCTGGAGCCATGGATGTCTCCTTATCTGGAAACATGCATGATGTAAAATGTGATGATGTGGCAGACTGGAGATAATATATATAAAATGCCTTTTTAACTCTTAAACGTGGCCCGGTTGGTAGGAAGCTGCTTTCTGTAACTCTAAGCAACTTCTCTGATCTGAGTTAGATTAAAATTTCTATCAAAATCTGTTGTCAGGTCTCATAGTTATTTACTACATATACTCTCTTTTCAGGAAAACAAACCGGAGAGAGAAAGCTTCAAGGTGTAGACACAGAGCTTACCTTTAACATTAGTAACTAACATTTAGCATATGTCAACGATCAGATAACTTAACTTACCCCATGTAAGGCATACTCTGGCGTACTCATAACTTATACAAAACGTACCCATTACTCATCCAACGTATGCCAGCGTTTTTGTCAGATTTTTCATACGTGAGGCATAAGCGGGCTAAATCTTTAAGGTGTGACAGGGGCTTAATCAGCAAATCTCTTTTTTCTGGAGGGAGGATTCTGGCATGGAGATTTAACCCCCTTTGACAGAAATGGAACAGTTTTCATGTCTCTGCATGCATGTAGAGAGTGTGTTCTTTCTTTCTCCCAACATTTATTGGAGAAAAAAAAGGTGTAACACATTAAAAGGTTAAATTTTAGTAGTTATGGACTTAATAAATCCCACGATTTCGCAAAAACGAACAGAAAACGCAAAAACGGAATATTGGCCTGTTGTTTTTTTTTTTCTTTTTTTTTTTTTTTTTTGCTATTTATAAGGATTATAAACAGCCTTTGGGACACTTTTTCTGTTACCTTTTTTTATCTGATTTTCTTTACTTTTTTCTTATTATGTGATCCACATTCCAATGTCCTCGTTTTATTTATCCAAGAGTCACATTATCTTCCACCCTTCTTCTGCGGCCAGTTTGTGCTTAGAGGCATCATTTATTTTCTGCTGTCAAAAATCTGTGCAACACAGGCCAAACACAGACAAGGCTTTTTATAAACTCATGACTTCATAGTTTAAGGAAAGCTTGCATTTACTCACACAGTGGGGAGGATAACACTCACACAGCAAGTGATTTAGTTTGGATGTTCTTTATCACTGTTTTGTCCTCTTGTCTCAGAATTCAGGCCTCGACACTAATAGATCCACCCGACACCATGGTTTGGTGGACAGAGTCTACCGCGACCGGAATCGCATCACATCGCCCAATCGAAAACCTCTCTCTATAGACAAACATGGACGCCAGATATCCTTTAAAACTGCCATAAGACTTGATTACAGTCTACATGTTTATGATTGTTTTTCCTTTCTCTGACAAACTCAGGATCTACCTGTTCTGCAGTGCTCAGTGTACATTCAGGCTTTTCGATCTTTGTTTTGAAACCAAAAATTACAAAAAATTGTAAAAAGTATACCAGTCATTTTGTTATGATACATTATATATCTATATAGCTCAGTGTGGAAACTCAGAGAGCTTCTTCTTCTCAGTTATTTTTCTGTAAACAAAATATGTAAAAAAGAAAAATGCTAACCTGCAGCGTACTACTTTTTTATAACTTGGTTTTGGGCTCTGACCTAAAAAAGGCTACTTTCACACTGCAGGCCTTAATGCTCAATTCCAATTTTTGTGAAATCCATTTTTTTTTTTGCGTTGCCGTTCACATTTCCAAATATATGCGACTCGTAAGTGATCTCCTGTGTGAACTGCATTCATACAGCTTTAGTATGCCGCATGTGCAGTAGAGGACGCAGTGACATCACGAGCAAGCATGCTCATGGATGGTAGTGCTGGAGCTCATCTAGCAATCTTGCCCAACCTTAAAAACTAAATTTTTTCAAGGTGCTTAAAAAAAAAAGACTACTCTCCACATTATCGTCCTACGGAGCCCCTAAAGGGACATGTAGGGGAAAAAAATAACTTTTGCGAGATCCCGCAACACTTTTGTGAGATCCCGCAATAGTTTTGCGAGATCTCGCAAAACTATTGCGGGATCTCGCAAAAGTTTATTATTTGCGAGATCTTGCAATACTCTTGCGAGATCCCGCAATACAAAACAACCGTGGTGAACGATATGGAGCCCCTAAAGGCACATGGAGGGGAAAAATATACTTTTGCTAGATCCCGCAAAAAAATAAACTTTTGCGAGATCTTGCTAAAGTATTGCGAGATCTCGCAAAAGTATTGCGGGATCTCGCAAAAGTATTGCGGGATCTCGCAAAAGTATTGCAGGATCTCACAAAAGTTTAGTATTTGCGAGATCCCGCAATACTTCAGCGAGATCCCGCAATAGTTTTGGGAGATCTTGCAAAAGTATTGCGGAATCTCGCAAAAGTTAATTTTTTTGCAGGATCTCGCAAAAGTTTATTTTTTCCCTCCATGTCCCTTTAGGGGCTCCGTATTATCCACCACGGTTGTTGCAAAAAAGTAAAAAAACAAAAAAAAAAAACAATCCACTGGAATTTGTTGTTGTTTTTTTAACTCATTGTATTTTTAAACTTTTTTGGAATGACTATTACCTGGATGACAGAATCTTTACCACACATTGTTGTTTTTCAGTCCGCTTATGCGTAGCAGAATAGTGACCTTTGTTTAGCATTAAAGGCGTTCAGTTTGGATGAATGCGAACAGATCAGATGCGTATCGGATTCAGGACCACAGAGCCAAGACTTTAATCTGGTAATGTTATAAACTTAATCTAATGATTTTGCAAAATTTTATGTTGTAACGTTATGACTTTAATCTAATAATGTTACAATTTAACTTTTTTAAGCTTAGTACTTTATTTTAGAAAAGTTCAAACTTTACTCTGATAATGATACGACTTAATTCTAGTAATGTTTTAATTTTATTCTCGTAATGATTACTTTCCGTAATGTTACAGTTTTCTTCCCTTAATCTTATCACTGGATTCTAATTAAGATTTTATTCTGGTAATACTAAAAGTTTTATCTCATAATGTTACATTTCTCATAATAATAAGACTTTAGTCTTGAAATGTTGCGACTTTATTCTTGGAATGTTACAGTTTTGCTCCCTTATTCTTATAACTTTCTACTAATGTTACAACTTTACTAATTTATTCTGTTAATGTTTTGATTCTAATCTCGCAATGTTATAACTTTAATTTTGTTACTGTACTACTTTATCCTCATAATGTTGCTATTTCGTTTTTTCGGAATGTTACGACTTTTAATGGTAATTTTGCAACTTTATGGAGGAAATGTTGCAACAATTTCTTTTCTGAAAGGTTAAAACTTTATTTTTGTTAGGTTATGACTCTTTCTTTGTGACGTCATAACTTTACCATCGTAAAGTTACGACTTTAATAAGACAGAACTAATGCTATGAATAATTTTTTCGTAATTTAAAATACATTTATCTCTTAGTGCTTTCTGAAACAAATAATAAAAATAAAAAAAAAACTGTTTCTTTTTTCCCCCATTGTTGGTTCAATTAAAAACTGAATAAATAAATCTTACACAGACCAAAATCACAAAAGAAAGATTTAGCCTTATTTTTTTCAGTCTAGTTTAGATATTCTCCTCCTCCAGGACTAAGAAAAAATTATTAATAAATCTCATTTGTGTAAAAATCAGTGTAATATTTATAACCAAATAGTCAAATAAAGATCAGTCCTTTTAAAATACAGGGTAATAGTCCTTTAACTGAGTGCTAAATCCCAGGCGACTAACAAAATTAGCAATAAGAAACCCTGCAGGGCATTCGTTTTGTATATAACTGCATCATTAGACGCTCTACGGTAAATTACAAAAGTTATTTCCAGTTAATGAAAGAGAACCACAGCTCCTTTCCAGTTCACAACCACATAGAATGAGAAACCGTATATATAGTTTGATGCTTTATTATTGTAATTTTAGGTTATTGAAAAAGTTATTGAAAAGATCATAGTGTTGAAATTAATCCTTAGAATGATGCCTGCAGCTTGATAATTCTTCTTCTGCAGCTTGCATGTGATAACTCATCATTTAACTGCATGGTAGCGCCTCGTAATTATCTTCCAGTTGGGAAAGGAAACCATATTACATATAAAAAAAACCCGACTGGTTTGATTAGCAACAAGCGAGTGAGAGCAAATGTTTTATCAGTTCTGTTTTATTTAAAAACAGGACAAATTGGCCCTGGCAAATATACGTATCTGCTATTCCCCTGAGGAGGAACGACGTCAGAGGTGATCTTAGAAATCCAATGTTGATATTTGTAAGTTTAAGAATGGCGCTGAAGTCATTTTACAAACAAAGTAGGATACAAGTTCTTCACTGTGCAGACAGTTTCTCTTTAGCAGCTCTTAGAAAAAGAGAGAGTGAGCAGCCGTCTCAGACATGCTTGTTTCAGCGAGTTCGATCATGTTACATAGAGGAACTGAAAAAACAAACAGAGCTGTGTTAAAAACTGCAGACCCTAGATAGTTAAATGCTAATTCTCATTTCAAACAACTACAGTTAGGCCCTAAATTATTCACACCCCTGGTTCTTAGATGTTCAAAGAAAGCTTTCTAAGTGAGCAACATGATTTTACTCACTGAAAGTCATGTTAATGTGTTAGATTTGTTTTTTATCAGGTTGATGTACAAAAAAATTATTTATGTTATTGATGAGGGTATAAACTATCTAAAAAATTTGACTCTTTATTAAAATGTAATTTAAAAACAAATCTGCTTTGTTTTTTTGGGGGAGAGATTGATTGGTCATAAACTCCGGAAAGATCAGAAACATGCTTGGTTAAATTACCGTATTTTCCAGACTATAGAGTGCACATGGATATAAGCTGCCCCTACTAAGTTTTTTTTAAATAAAATGGAAACGTTCATAAGCCCCTGAAATCTACTGAACTGCCTCCCACCAAACCTGTAGGGGGAGCTCTACACATAGCTCCTGGATTAGGGAACAAGAAGAAGGCTAGCTCCCGTTAGCTTATTGGCTTGTGGGCGTAAGAGCTTCGACTGAAAGATGGAGCTTTATTTCAGCTCTACAGGAGTTGAGCTCAGTCTCTTCATTGGTTCGGCAGCTTTAATGCAGCAAATCAATGTCAAAATGTGTGAATTCAGGACATCTGTTTTCTGCCGTGCCCGCTGCTGGCATGTTCTTGTGCTAAATGAAAAATAGTCCCGTATTCTTTGATTTCCAACTTTGACTTTACCCTCTGGCAGTTTGGTAAAATCCACAGTAAAGCCACACCTTCTTATAAGCCGCATGGTTCAAAACGGGGGGGAGAAATAAAGTAGTGGCTCTTGTCCGGAAAATACGGTGAAAGGATTTTGTATCTAAACCCTTAAAGCCGTAGCCTGACGTAGTCCTACTCAATTCTAGTCAGAATATGAGTCTGATGCTGCTCCATAGAGCTGTGATTATGGGGCGTGTTTCGAACGAACCAAGAAAAAAAATGCCTCTGCACTTAATTGGATAGACCTACAACCAATAAGAGCAACGGAGTGCGTGACGTATGTTAAGCGACGCATAGTTGTTGTCAATAAAAATCAAAGCGTGCAGTTGCACGCCTAGAATAGGAAGATGAGCCTTGATCGCGTTTCTTTTTTCCTCTTTTAAAATTAATTTGCTGTCGATATCTTCTAGAACAGACCTAATAGCAGAATCTACTCACCTCAACTGTCCAGCGGCAGCCATTGTTGTTGTCATCCAAAAAAGCTTTGGTGACGTGGTTGATTACGTTACTGTTGATCATCTGTCCATCATCGTATAAAGCCTGCCCTGACAATTTGATTGGTTCGCCAGATAGTGGGCGAGCATACTCGCGCTACTACTGAGCAATGCCAAACCGAACTTCCCGACCTCAAACGTTGTGGGCGGGACTACGTTCGGAATGGCACCCAGGCTAGTAAAGCCGGGCATACACTGTACGACTTTTTTGGCCTTTTCGTGCCGATTCTCCAGTTGTGCGAGAATTTTTCAATCGGGCCAAGTTTCAGCCTCATTGGAAATTGTGCATCTTGTAGTATACAGGGGGTAACGAGGCACGATTAGCCTCTCACGACCACCTCGTGATCAGGAATCGTAAGGTTAGGAGAAAATCAGACATGTTTTAAATTCAGTCGGCATCGTAAGATTGCATCAGAGTGTCTTGCCGCACAGTGTGAGAACATGTATTGTGAGCTGTGAACTTTTAAACCCTGCGGTTTCGTTGTACAGTTTGAGCTGCAGCTGCTTGCAACGATAAAAGATATTTGACAATGTACGGTATGCTTAAGAGGTATAAGTTATTTGGGCTCAACTGTTGGGTAAAAAAAGCCTGATTTAGTCTGCTAGCAGCTCGCTAGCCCAAATGGTAAGTCACCCATCCTGCAAACAGGAAGCCTGGGTACGTATCCCAGCTGGGGGGAGTGAGCTGCCAGCGTGGGTCTTTAGGCAAGATCCTTCATGCTAATATCACTCTTTTGGGAGTGGTGTCAAGTGGTTAGGCTGGTGAAGATTCTCAGTCTTCCAGGTCATAGTCATTCCACAAAAACAAACTTTGTTTCCAAGTTTGAAGACGTTTCGCTTCTCATCCAGGAAGCTTTTTCAATTCAAAATGTCTGAAATAACGTTGAGTTTAAGGATTTATAGAGTGGACCAAAGCAAAGCTTTGTTTTGGCTTAGAAAACATGCAAATTGAACCTGACCAGGGGCTCCGCCCCTTTGGAATGTTGGTTGTTTTGTTTCTTTGTTAGCCTGTAATACCTGTAACCTGTCTATGTCTCTGAAAAGGGGGTCGTTAGAGGCAATTGTTGGCCTGGCTGAACAGGCGAGGTACTCTGGTCTCCTGTATTGGGGTATGGGTTGCGATGATAGCGGGAAGGAATCAACTCAACCGCTGAATTGTAGGTTTTTGAAAGCTGAAATCTGAGTCCATCCCCTCTGTTTAAGGTTGGTTTGTCTTACTTGGTTAGGGCATTGCGCTTGGAATTCAAGCCCCACTCCCACAGACTGCTAGCCTCATGAGACCATCCTGATCTTGCGAGCTTTCAAGATTTGTCTCGCTAATCAGTCTGGAGACTCTCCGCTGAAGAAAATTTGGAGCCGTTCACCAAACGAACGTCCAATCAGCGTTGGCTTTGAGGCGGGTTGAGGTGTGACGCAACGAGAAGCACGACAGTTCAGTCTAAAGAACATGGCGGCTTCAGCCGATGAAACTAGCGTGGCTATCGAGCAAGTTTTATCGGAATTACAGAGTATTTCTTCACTGAAAGAAGAGCAAAACACTGCTCTGGAGGCTTTTCTCAGAGGAAAAGATGTTTTTGCTCTTCTCCCGACTGGTTTCAGCAAGAGTAGCCTGGCTTGTGGTTGTGTTTTCTACGTCGCTCTGTTAGTACGTCATATGCTTCGTTGATCTGATTGGTTTATTTGGCCCATCTATCACCAACATAGGCCAATCAGCTAACCAGTATTTTCGCCCCTTCCCAAAATTACTTCAACGGAAGGTTTCCAGATGGATATGTTGAGCAAATCCATCTGGCGGAGTCAGGTTAACGGACTGCCACTCTGGGTCCAAGGGTGCAAGACCCTTAATCCCTACACCCCCCACCCCCGTTGTGGGGTGCATTTAACCGATCCCACAAGGGGAAAGTTAATTTCATTTGTTTGAACTTTGACACAATAATAAAAAAAATAAATAAATATATATATATATATATATATGAACAAACTACCAGGCTGTTAGTTTCCCATGGCTCTCTGTATTGTGTCACAATACCCTAATTTAAACAAAACCGAAACAAAGGTCAAACTTTTTCCTAGTACAGTAGCTTCAGGGAGTTGGGTGCACTTACCTTTTGGTTTGTAATCTAGAATAACTAATTGTAGAAATTTTGGCGTGTTCTTTGAGCATTTCGCAATAGAACAAATTCCCTAAACTATTAGCAGATACACATTTTTTTTTATTGTATCTTCATGCATTTCAAAAAGAGAATCTTCTGACACCCTGTCTGGATTGTGCTAAATGTCAGTCTGAGGATGATTTTCTTGACCTGTAGTCAAACATTGACAGCTGCCCATATGGATCAGTGTATCTGTCACCGCCGCCTGACACCAGCTGGAGAAGGTAAGACCATTTATCTGTACATTGCTCCTCAGTCTGAGTGTTAATATTGTGATATTCATTATTCTCTCCCTTTCTGATAAGTCAGACATCTGATTTTTACTTTCTAATTGCTTTTTTATGGTAAATATTTTTAATAAAATGACAGATATTGTAAAAAAAAAAAAAAAAAAAAAATCCCATTATGCAGGGTTGTTATAGAATTTATTTTGTGCAATATTATGGCAAATAACAAATTTTTTTAAATAAATAAAAAAAAGTGCAAATATGAAATGAAACTTTAAAAACATTTTAACAAAAAAGTTTTTAAGTAACTTTTTTCTTATTTATTTTTCATATTTTATTTTTATAAATTTACTTTTTTTTAGATTTAATTGGTTAAATATACATTTTTAGAGATTATATTTAATCATTCGATATTATTATTTACTAAAAATGTTTAAAAAATCTTGTTAAAAACATCTACATCTAAGAAAACAGTAAAGTCACTTTTAAACCTTGTTGGTTTGCATAACTTTTTTTCATGTACAGTTTTCTTTGCTTGCAACAAAAAAAGTAAATAGAACAAAATTTTTTTCATAGACTGTTGCCTGTTTTTTATCAGAAAAGGTAAAAAATATATATTTATATTTAATGTTTAAAACTCTAATTAATGCACTTTGGCTGTTTAATTGGAAAAACTTAAGGACATATATTGTACCAAGTGTGTGGTTGAGAGTAGAGCACGTTTTAACCTCAGAGGGAATTTTTCTGTTAATTTTAGTTTAGGCTCAACTTGTTGGCTCATGTCTGTGAATAGACTGTGAAACTAATGGTTGGTATTTACTGAGACTGAATCACTACATAAACAATAGAGACTTCTAGCTAAGCTGAAATAGGTCTCTTTATTCTGTTGTGGCGATGAAATAATATTTAAAAAGATAATCAAGCTGTAAAGGCCGCCCTGAGAGCATTTACTATGAGAACATAAGTGCAATAAACAAAAGAACCAATATTGGTCTCGTGTTACACAGATATTTTTGGATTAGAATAAAAAAATTTAATTCAATTCAAGTATCATCATCAAACTTCACTTACATTAAGATTTCCTATACATGCCAATGGAAAAGTCTTTTCTGCGCATCTGTCATACGTCTAGTTCTACGGTGGCTGAGAGGTCAAATGGCACTGAGTAAACATGCAGCAAATAGAAAAAATACTGCATACATGAAAAAGAATGACACTAGCAAACCCAAACTAACATATATCTGTGAAGACTCAGTTATCCAGGTCATGGTCAAGCTGGAAAAGGTTCAGATTAGGCAACTGGTCGTTAAGTTTTCTAAAAGATTCACTACACGCAGTTCAGTGTAGTGAAGAGTGTGTAGACCTTTACATTGGAGAGACCAAGCAACTGCTGCACAGACGCGTGGCTCCACACAGGAGGGCCGACTGTCATGATTTTGTCTAAAGCTCTGACCCACATGCAGAAGACCAAACAAAGAGACCAGGGAAAAGTTTAACAGGTTTTATTTTGAATAGGTTGAGAAGAGTTCAGGCTCAGTGGGAAATTTGTGTCTTTGACTTAAAGAAGGGAATAAAGGCAACAGGACTCACGTTTCCAGAAAAAGGTGTCTCTTGTTGAATCCAGTCGGTGTTGGTTGTTCCAGTAAAGACTTGCTCGTTGGAGGGCGGACAGGGTTTACCCAGGTTGCGGTGTCTCCTTGAGGAACAGAGGAGCTGACTGCCACTATATTTTCCTGCGGTACTTGAACGGTTACTTGTGGAGATGAAACCCCTGCTCAGAGAGACGCCCAAACAATCCTTGGGGATCCAACCACAAACTTGAATCCTCAGCTCAGTTTGGTGATCAGAGAACCCTTCCAGGGGGCAGAAGGTCCAAAACATCCAGTTTGCAGGATGACTTCCTGCCGAGAGGCAAAGACAAAAAGCAAGGTTAAAACTCAGGTAAACAAAAACTCAGTTTGACTCAGCTTAACTCAGCTTGGCTAGAGTACCCAAAACCCAATGAGGATGGGGCACCACCTGGTGGAGGACAAAAGGAAACACAAAAACAACCCACAAAAACTGGATTCCTGACACCGACTCCTCAGGACAGGACTCAGCTGTTCACCTACACCTGAAGGCTAAAGGATACTCATTTGACAACAGCAATGTCCATATATGGCCAAGGAAGACAGATGGTTTGAGAGAGGGGTTAAGGAAGCCATCTTTCAACTACTTACAATGCGCCTTTAGGAACGAAACCCAGAGGATTCACCTCTCACTCGCCCCCAACTGACACACTTCAATAAAGCATGTTGTTAGGTTCAAAAATGTAGGTTCATGAAAGAGAAACTGAGTCCACACAGAAGAGGGATTTTTTAACGGCTTCTGCATAAGGAGAGAGCTACATTCAGCTTCATCTACTCTCTCACTGACTTCCTCTGCAAAACCCTTTTATTAGCAGATCATAACACATGGGGTGGGTTACAAAATAGAGTGTTCTTCTGACAAGGCAATTGATCAGGTCATAGGACAAAATGCTCCTCTGATTGAATCACAGAATAAAGTGGTCTCCTGATAACTGTGATTAGCCTTGCACAAACATCAGCAATTTTCTACCACCGTTGCATGACAGTTTGCAGTAAACAGACTGAACCCCCTAACGACCATTAACACCCCCATGTAACCTCTTTGGCCAATCCAGTGGGAGGGAGCAGAACCAACTCCCCCCCCCCCCTAATTCTTTGTTGCACCTACAGTATATTAATATCAGTGCTCCTCACTACCAGTTAGAACTGGCTTAACGATTGTGCCATTGGTATGAGCGTGCAGGCACCAATCCGAGCATGCAGTGAGGCAGGCGTTCAGTATTTAAACATCACACATGCTCAACCGACTGTCCTCATGCTTGGTTCCATCTTAGCGAGCGCTCAACACCAGCTGTGCGCTCGGCTGGTATTCAGTGCGCACCAGATGTAGTATTTGGAACAATGCTTTGATTGGATGAATTTTAAAAAATGCGTGATTGGCTGATGGTTTGGTTCATTTACATACATCTATGAAGTCGCGAGTGCAGAGAGTCGTGTGAGTACAGCACACAGCTTGTGTTGAGCGCGTGTTTGACATGTTTTGAGCACGCATGTGGTGTTTAAAAGTTGAATAACCGTCTCACTGCGTGCTGGGATTGGTGTCTGCACGCTCAAACCAACCGCACAATCATTATGCTGTAGAACTGAAGAAGACTCTTGGGTGAGAGGAGAAACACCTTCTAGAAAGCTTCACACCCAGTTGCCTAAATGGAACCTTTCAAGTTAGACTAATATATTAACGCCAAGAAAAAAGTCTGATTCTTGAAGGCAATATTGCTTCTTTCTTTATTTACATACAAAAAGGAAACAATGATAACCGATGTTACACACGTCTCAGCTCAAACAAAAAGAAACTTTCAAGTCGCAGACGACCTGGTTTCTGAGCATAAACCAGGCTTAATGGTCCCTCAGCAGCTGATGATCATCTCCCCCTAGTGGTCTTGAGTACTTCCCTTATGCAGAGCTACTTTGCTGTTTTTTTTTTTTTTTACCTACACTTTTTTATGCTGGTTGCAGCATTTGGTTTCTTTTTTGCATGTGTTTGGAGTTAGCATCATTTTTGTGCTTGCAGCAGGTTTGCATCCTGCTCCTCTATTCTCTGCCAGTTCAGCAGTGTTTCTCCTTTGCATGTTTTCTGTGTGTTAGTATATTTTTTTGTGATTGTGAGGCAAATTTTGATTTGCTACTGCAGAACTGTTTGTTTTCCTCTGCACATTTATGCATATGCAGCACGTTTGGAGCCTTTGGCAACCGTATATTACTTACAGACCAAATGAGGGTTTTTAACTGTGAATTGAACTCAGTTCTTTTTAAAAGTAAACCTGGTCAACATTATCAATGACATCTCCGTATGCCGTATTCAGCCAACACTTCCATGTTATCTACTAGCCTCGTGAGACCATCCTGATCTCGCGAGCTTTCAAGATTTCACTCGCAGATCAGTCTGGAGACTCTCCGTTGAAGAAAATTTGGAGCTGTTCACCAAACGAACGTCCAATCAGCGTTGGCTTTGAGGCGGGTTGAGGTGTGACGCAACGAGAAGCGTGACAGTTCAGTCTAAAGAACATGGCGGCTTCAGCCGATGAAACTAGCGTTAGCGTGGCTATCGAGCAAGTTTTATCGGAATTACAGAGAATTTCTTCACTGAAAGAAGAGCAAAACACTGCTCTGGAGGCTTTTCTCAGAGGACAAGATGTTTTTGCTCTTCTCCCGACTGGTTTCGGCTAGGGGTGTAAATAATAATCGTTTTGTATCGATGCATCGATCCAAAAGCCGACGATCCGATGCATCGACACGTCCGCAAGATAATCGATTCATGTTTTTTTTTCCTCCGGTCTATTTTTATCCATTTGCTCCTGGGCGTAATTCTCCCTCCCGTGCTGCGATGCCGCTAAACCTATTTTGCCCTCCTACCGCGCTTCCTGGTTATACTCTTACAGCAGTTTGTTGCAGTGAGCTTGACACAGACATTTTTAAATTATGCTCAGTATTGAAGCGTGGTCTGTGCTACACGCTGTGGGTCTAGATACGGCCGAGGCAATGAGGAAGTGGGGGTGAGTTTAGTCCGACGACGGAGCGACAATGGGGCAAAAAGAGCGGAGATTCAGCTGGAAAAAGGCTCCCAGCGTTCTCGCGCACCTCGCTCTTCTAGCGGGTCAAACTTCACGAGTTGTTTTCCGCAATTTCGGTCATAAAAACAAAACAAGCCGGCCTCCTGTCTGCGGCACTGTTTGCGGTCAGCTACAATCTGGGAGAGGAGCAGCGGAGCGTCTCTCAAGGGGGCGGTGACGCAACACTCTGGAGCCTTCTTCTTCTTCTTTTTTTTAATGGCGGTTGGCAAACAACTTATAGGTGCATTACCGCCACCTTCCAGAATGGAGTATGGACCAGACAAACTATTATATTCTCCCTAAAATACCCGTTCTTCTTAGAAAATTAAAAATACTACCAAAAACTACATCCCCAGATGACCTTTGAAACAATTCCCTTATATCTAGTTTATTTTTATTCCTGTCTAACTCTCTACACAACATCTCTCTTTCCTGAATATATTTATTACATTCTAAAAAAATATGTTGGACAGTTTCTCTGGAGCCGAGGTATTGCATTGAACTCATTACACTGATATTGTGCAGTATTTTTGCAGTATTTTTTGATGCAACTTTTCTACTTCTGTTATTTGCTGTTGTTTCTAAAGAAAATGCATAATGATATTACAGCTTTCATTGATTTATTTCAAACTTGAAACTTTGTTTAGCCTGTAAGTGTGTAAAAAAAAATAATAATAATAAAACAAAAAAATTAACCGATTAATCGAATCGAATCGTGGTGTATTCTTAAGTATAGAAAATAATCGAATCCTTGGGTCAGGAAATCGATACTGAATCGAATCGCCATGATGGATGTGATTTACACCCCTAGTTTCGGCAAGAGTAGCCTGGCTTGTGGTTGTGTTTTCGTCGTCGCTCTGTTAGTACGTCATATGCTTCGTTGATCTGATTGGTTTATTTGGCCCGTTTGTCACCAACATAGGCCAATCAGCTAACCAGTATTTTCGCCCCTTCCCAAAATTACTGCAAAGGAAGGTTTCCAGATGGATATGCGGAGCAAATCCATCTGGCGGAGTCAGGTTAGGTATCTACATCACCTGATGACGTTTGTACTGTATGACCTGTATTTGCAGGACCAATTCGGACTCAGCACTACATCAGAGCACACTGACTCCTGCACAGCAAGTCTCCTTTGCCGGAGGCTCCCAGGAACTTCAGCCAAGACGAGGTACGGGACACCATGATTTTAATCATACCTCCGTTTTGATATATGGTATAGGAAAAAAAAAGGTGTAGTCTATGAATAAAAAAAAAATGCTTTATCTTAAATGGGTTTAACTCACTGTATACAGAGCAAGTTGTTTGACTTTTAATAAATTAGTTTGTGCTCCTAATGAGCCGTTGATGTGAAGTGGATGGGCTGTTTCGTTGTTATCTTGTTTATCTGTGTGCTGTTTGGCTGCTCTCTCTTAATGGCTCAGTCGAGTGTCCTCCAGTGCCTGATAAAAGCCTCTGAATGTTGCTTTGAAGGCATAGAAAGAAAATTGATCGGTGAGAACATCTGCTAGCTGATGAATGTTTTTGCTAATGGATGTGCTTTTTTTTTTTTTTTTTTTTAGGATCCCGGGTTGAAAATGAACTCATTGTGTTTTTGTATCTTAATCTTGCATTTTGAATGCGTTTTTTTTTTTTCACAATGTTACCGATCTACTTCATTAAAACAAAAATGTTATACGAATTTAACACAATTACCAAGGCATATGTGCTCTAGCTGGTATGACATCTAATCCAGCTGATATTGGCAAACCAAAGGGACTATAAAGGCTTGTTTTCTACCTCTCCAGTGCTATTACTCACTGTACCGGGGTCTGGAGTCATTAAACAAGAGGTGAAAGAAGATGAACAAAAGCAGAACTGGGACTGTAAAAAGGTAAAAGTGGGATAAGAGTATTTTCAGATTAAAGTGCTGCATGAACCCTCACAGCGTTTGTTGCTTTTCTCTCTCTTCAGAACGTCTCCCAGTCTGAATCCTGTCAAGTTCCTGGGATCCAGTGAGTATTTTTGCTGGTTTTAAAACCAGATATGGTGACTGTTGGGCAAGTCCTATATAAAATCCTCTTTAAGCACATTTTTGGCATCTACTGTTTGATAAAATGTTGCCTTTTGGCGCAGCAGATTATTTATTTGTTATGAAATATTAGCTGTTTTCTTCTAAAATAGAAGAAAATTTCCTCCCTCTGGTGATTAGGTTTTTTTGTTGAAAGGCTAAAACATCTCAGAGACCTCTTAAGTCAAAAAGTACTTTTTCACAATTTTTCACAAAAAGGAAGGACTTTATAACCTGACAACAGCCAGATGCATGTCTAGCTCCGCCTAGCTCCACTCACATACATCTGGGAACCCGCCATAGGAATTGCCTTTACTGAAGGCTGGGCCTTATCAAAACTCCTTGCATATGATTGGAAAAGCCACTTGTTGTTCATCTTTATCGACGTGCTATTTCAACCACTCACACCGAAGCTAACCGGGATGCTGTGAGAGCGACGCAGGAAAAAAACAAAACTGAACAGCCGACATCTTGGATATAGCAACAGTGGAATCAGCGCAATGTCGGTAAATGATAAATGTCGTTTGTGCCATGAAAATGTGCGGATAAAAGGCAACATTGTGCACGCTTCTCCACTACGTCACATCCAGGAAACACCCGCCCTGCGTCCTGATTGGCCAGACCATAAATTTGGTTGGGGAAATCACTTTCAATGAGCGGTGTCCCAGATGTATGTGAGTGGAGCTAGACATGCATCTGGCTGTTTCTCAGGTTAAGGACTTTATGCAAGCCTCTAATCAAAAAATTAACTGGTGATCTCCAATGGAGAATTTTACACATTGCCGTCACCACAAACTCATTTTTATCGGATATTAATCGGGGTGTTTTAAACGAGTGTCCTTTCTGCGGCCTGTCTGAAAATGTGTTCCACGTTTTTATGGAATACCCAAGACTAAAGACAAATTTTAGCCTTTTAACTTGTGTTTTTAGTCTTTTTGGGACGGGTTTTACAAACGCTCTTTTTATAGGAGGGGTTTGCCAGAATAGTAAAAATAAAAGTCCTGACTTTAAATTTTTTAAATCAGTGAAGCAAAGATGGCCGTTTATTATCCCGCAGAGACAAACTGCAGGAGGGAGCTCACCTTGATGCCGTGGCTCTGTGGAAGTGCAACGTTAAAGCAAGAATAAGGCTGGAGTTTCACTTCCTTACAGCCACACAGAACATGGAGGATATTATTCAGCTGTGGGGTTTTAACAACATTTTATATACTGTGTCAGATGAAGGACAACTACAATTTAACAAGCTCCTCATTTAATGGGAAAATTTTTTATTATTTCATCTTTGCAAAGAAAGAACAGTTCATCATACTTACTGCACGGTAATCAGCCCTGTTCTGATCTGGACAGCGTTCATTCCTCCTTACTTACAATAATGGAAAAGTAGTCAGAGTCAAAGCAAATTATAGAAACTTTGGTGAAACAGTAACATGGTATGAATAAACCTTGAGAAAGAATCTCACCCTCACTCAGGCATTGTGTGGTCTTGCAGGTGAAACAGACTGAGTGGAAAAAATGTTTTTCAGTGAGTAAATGGCATAAATCAGTATATGAAAAATAAAAATTTTCCGACCACATGACAAAAGCCTTTTAATAATAAATTAAATCACATTTCTTTTCACTTAAAAGCCAAAGTAAAGTAAGTGTGAAGGCAAAAGCTGATTAAAGTCCAGTGAGTAAAGTTAGTTTTTTTCTTGGAAAAGAAGTTGAGCTGAGTAATTAGCAAAAACTTGCATTCTTTGTAATTTTGCCAACTTTATCAGCCCAATGCACTCATTCGCCGTGTCTGTCTGTGTTTTGCAGCATATTCCCAACTCCAGACCAGCAGCTAACCCCGTCACACAAACCGGTCGCCCACAACAGTGGCGGTTCTCTTCCGGACCTGACCAACATCCAGTTTCCTCCTCCTCTGCCCATCCCACTTGACTCAGACGAAGCAGCCGCCACCTCGTTTGGCTCTCCCAGCGGCACACAGGCTCTGGCTTCCACACAAGGTACTCCTCTTATGCTGCCATTTAAAAGTTGGCATCTAGTTCTGAATCCTGGTTTGCTCAAACAGAATCTCCAGGGATGCTGCTTGATGACAGTTTTATGTGTGTGCTTTAAAGACTTCCCCCTCTTGCTGTCTTTGTGTACTGAGTAGGAGTGAACACCTCTCAGTCCACAGTAACCATGGAGATCCAGTCTGCCCAGGACAACATGGTTCCTCTCATTCTAAACGCAGGAGACTCACACCAGCAGCAGAACCTCTCCCAAAATTCTCCACCACTCCCGCTTTCCCAGGTACTGTCTGTTTTAAACAGACAAACAACAAGCCCGCCTTCTTGCTAAACGACCAATCACATTCACCTTATTCACTCGTGTAAAGTCGTGCACCACTCGGAAGAATTCGGCAATGCAACTGTTGGAACAGCTGTTTAACTACGACATTAAAGGAATAGTACACCCAAAACATGATTAGCCTTCATTTTCTACTGACCCCCATGCTGAACAACACTCTGGAGTACTTTTTTGATTTCCTAAAAGCGCGTTCACGAGTCTACGGAAACCTGTGCAAAGAAAGAAACAACGAAAGAAAAATGTCTGAGGACTTCAGTGTTGAGGAAGAGCATGAGTTCTTTGCCGAGCTGAATGCGCACTTTCATCTGGTTTGGTCTGCCGCGGTTTCCGTAGACTCGTGAACGCGCTTTTAGGAAATCCTATACACTACTGTTTATGCTCTAAAAACATTCTAAATGACTTCGTTTCGAGTAAATTATGGACGCTACCCACTCAGGACAGTTGGAATACATTGGACGAGCAGTATGGAGGAATATTGACACGTTTTTTGTGGACTTTTATGGACCTTTCTGTCTCAGGCACCATAGACCTCCATTATTTGAATGTCAGCAGACAGCAAGAAGCCTCCCAGATCTCCAGATGCATTTGAGATATCAAAAAAGTACTCCAGAGTGTTGTTCAGCATGGGGGTGAGTAGAAAATGAAGGCTAATCATGTTTTGAGTGTACTATTCCTTTAATCATGGATAGAAAATGAAAGGAGCGTGCGTGCCGGTGGTGCAGTGGTTAGTGCACACTGCCCATGTATGGAGGACTTAGTCTTCGACCCGGGTTGGAATTCTGCCTGTGGTCCTTTGCCGCATGTCTCTTCCCCTCTCTCATACCCCCTTTCCTGTCAGCCTACTGTCAGAAAAACGAGCCACTAGTGTCGTAAAATAACTGTAGGCAGTACTGTTTTCTTTCTACTTGTTTGCCCAATGGCCAGTTCAGCCCTGAGAACAACCTTTATCTATAACATAAAGGTTTTTACAGCACTTAGTCTAGCTAAACAGAGCATCAGGCCAGATGTAGACTATGAAGAAAAATAATACAAAAACATAAAGTTGAAGGTTGAAGTGACAGGAAATTAAAAACTGGAGTGTAGTGAGAGAGTGGTCGCTATTACCTTATTTACACTATCCTCTGATTTACTCACTGCGCTAGCACAGTTCCCCGCCTCTAGTGACGATCTACGGTACTACTGCTCTCTAGAGGTAAACAAACAAATCAACATGGCGGCGCCCCAAAACATTCAGGAAGTTTGGTTATCATTTAGATGTTTCGTTGTCTGTGGAGAGTCAGGCGAAAAAGGCGGCCTATGATGAATTTACTTGACAGAATTGGCTTTTGGGAAGTGGATTCGACAAACGATAGTCTAATCAAGCTGAAAGGCACAGGAAATAACGACAGACGTTGAGGTTCATCACACTGCTAAACAGAATCATCACGGGAAACCGTGTGGCACAGGCGGGAAGCTAGGATTTGTATTGTCAGGTCTAAGCACCTAAAACATCATATATACATACAGGGAAAGACAAAAGGCGAAGAGACAATTAATTTAGTTTTACTCGTGAGGAGAGTAGGAAGAGACTGCGGAGTTTACAATCTCCAACCCACTCTGCTGGTCTTCAGCTTTCTCCTCGCTATTTATTGAAGTTAGGGGATGTCCCTAATTACACAAGCTGAGGTTTAACTAAGGGAAACAAAATGATCTTACTTTAAACCTCAGCACATATGTTAAAACAAAGCATGTGGTTGTTTTTCAGTTGAATTGTTCCAAGAACACATATTTATAAGAAACATGTGATAGATGATGATCAGACCTCTTTCACAATCCGTCCGTTGCATGACCTTTATCTGGAACGATCTTTAGCAAGAGTTAATAAACAATGAATCACACATTATACATCATAATAGTTCATTAGTACACAACCCATGAAACACAAGCGCAGTATAAATAAAATATTTCTAACATTTATGAATGTCTGAAATGATATGACTACGGAGGCCTACTGTAAGGAGATGATGTGGTCTGTTCGTGCGCATGTGGTTATCTGAGAACTGAGCCAGAACTGAACCGTGCCGAGCCCTACTGATGAACTAGTACAAGTTTAGCGCAATTCAGTTGTGTGTGGCACGGTTCAGTTTTGCATTCCATTTACACTCAACAGTTTTCTCATTTACCGCGCTCGGACGGATCTCAGCATGGTTTCAAAAGGATAGTGTAGATGGGGCTTAAGTTTTCCACTAGTCTAAGCCTATAGCAGCATTATTATAGAGATAGCTCAGGATAACCTGAGCCAGTCTAACTATAAGCTTTATCAAAAAGGAAAGTTTTAAGCCTAGCCTTAAAAGTAGATAGGGTGTCTGCCTCACGGACTAAAACTGGTAGTTGGTTCCACAGGAGAGGAGCCTGATAACTAAAAGATCTGCCTCCCATTCTACTTTTAGAAATTCTAGGAACCACTAGTAAACCTGCAGATTGAGAGCGAAGTGCTCTGTTAGGAACATAAGGAACAATCAGATCTCTGATATCAGATGGAGCTTGGCCATTTAAGGCTTTATATGTGAGAAGGAGGATTTTAAATTCTATTCTGGTTTTAACAGGAAGTCAATGAAGAGAAGCCAGGATAGGAGAGATATGATCTCTCTTTTTCATTTTCATCAGAACTCTGGCTGCAGCATTTTGGATCAGCTGAAGGCTTTTAACTACAGTTTGTGGACTTCCTGATAGTAAAGAATTACAATAATCCAGCCTTGAAATAACAAATGCATGGACTAGTTTCTCAGCATCACCCCTGGAAAGAATATTTGAAGCTTTAAAGTGACTCATTTTTCATTAATAGTCAGATAACAGCAACTAAAACCATCTCAGTCTAAAAGTACATAGAGAAGAAAAGACCCGATTATCCACAACAATCTCTTTGATCTGAGAAAAAAACTAATCAGCAGAGTCTGATGCAAGCAACAACAGACTAATGCACTGCTGCACGACAACAAAGCAATGACTGTATTTGAGCAGCCTGCTTTAGGATAGAGCAGCCAGACGCAGAGATGGTTAGATAGCAGACTCACCTGGACATGCAGCCGGATCTTTTCACTATCAGCCCTTTCAAAAAATAGTCACTCAGATAACAAAAAGCACAACTTTTTTAGATCAGCAAAACAACATGCTTAACCTAATTTACTTTCACAAACTTGGACTGTGGTGTAATGATTGATAGAGGGAAAAAAGGCAGGAAAAAAACTGTTCTTTGTTATGTTTTGAATGTTTATACATTATTTTAATGTCAGGATTTCTCTGATTTATTCTTTGTATTCTGGTCTCTTAAGGCGGCCATCAGCGCTATGGATCTTGAGCAACAGTTGTCCCAGTATTCTTTCTTCAACCAGCAGTCAGTGCCCCAGACTCACCAGAACCAGCAGGTGAGGTTGTGCCTAACTCTTTACCTTGATCCCACACGCTCCTCTGGCTAACAAAAACTATTAGACTCAACTTTATTTATCCCTAGCAGGGCTCGATGTTAACCATCGCCCGATCGCCCGGGGCAAGTCGTTTTTATTGTCGGGAGAGTACAAATTTCATTGCATTTGCTCGCCGGGTAAGTGCAATGATCGCAAAAAAAAATTATTTATCACTCAAAATTACTTTAAAATCACCAACATTTGCTGAAAACGACCCTCAAGCGTTGCCGGCGCCATTTTTGTTGTTTTGTACACATTCTCGCGTGATTTGAAAAAGACATGTGATTTTCCCCTAGATGGCGTAATTCAGCTCTTGGGGAGAGAATTCTCCAGAGCAGCAGCTGGATGATGAATTTAATCTATACTATAATACACGCTAGATTAAAAATGATCAGTCAGGGATTAGAAAAATAATAATTATAATTGTATGCACACAGTGTAAATATTTCTATCATATGGCAGTCTTCTGTACAGTGATGCAGGTCATACATTAAAAAATGTTCATTCAATTTTCTTTCTCTTAGACATTGGAGTGGTGCATTTAAATGTTATAGAGCTAAACATGTTAAATTGGTGAGTAGTAGTAGTGTAAGTTTTTAACCTGTCAAGTTTTTTTTTAGGTTTTTAACATTACAATTTATATTTTTCCAAGCAAACAATAGTTTAAAGCAAAGTTTAGTTTGAAAAGAATGTGCAGGAAGGATTGAAAAGCATGTCAACACGGTAATGTAGGCTGGAGTTCATTATCTGACGCATGCAGATACACACCAGGAACCTGGAAACTTACTGAATTACAAAAAAACATTTAAAAAACAAACATGTTTTATTGATATATATACAAAAATGAATATTAGCAACTATATTTATCAAACATTATACTGGGCAAGTAAAAATTGTTTCTGGGCAAATGAAATGTGAAATTCACTTGCCCGAAATCTTTAACGTCAACCCCTGCCTAGGGTTTACTCCTTCAGGAAAATTCTGGTTCCAGTAGCTTATATAGATCACAAAGAGTTAAAGCAAGATGCCAATAAAGATAAAAATACAACAGACAATATAAAAAGAGTGCATATAGTGCAAAAAAAGCATAAGGAAAGTTGTAATATCCTGGAATATGTTTCCCTTGGATATAAAAATATCTGCTTAGTAGAGAACTAAAGGAAGACTAGACTAGTTGATTTGGATTATTGCACATAAATAAGTAAAAAATTACACATCCTACACAGTATATAGCATGTTTTATTTCTTGCATCTTGATCTAAATCAATGGTTTTGGTACGAGAGTAAAAAATGAAACAAAAAGTCCAGGAATGTTGTTGATAACTGGTTTGCTGTTAAACCATTCAATCCAGTATCGACTGTAAAATGGACTCAGAATTCAAATTTTTTTCTCCATCTATTATGACCAGAGTGTGAGGTAGACTTTTATTGTTTCGGGGCAGAGAGGGCCATTTTAAGAGGACAGAGGGGGAGAGGGCCATTTTAAGAGAGAGGGCCATTTTAAGCAGATAGACTCAATTGCAACTGAAATTTCTGAACATTATTAATTATATTTAAGTTACAAAAATAGAGCAAAAATCAGCAAATGTAAATGATACCAGTTTTATCTGGTACCTTTGGTTGTAATTCATACCTGCTAAGGCTAAAAACGATCTGGTATTTAGTTTGGAGTCTCTTATTTAAAACTCTCTGATATATAGCTGATGGCTGAGATGAAGAACAGAACAACCAGGTAGCTATTTTCAAATTATTCAGAAAAATTGGTGATTCTGTCATTTTCTAGACCAATTTTTATCTAATCTGATGTTTACCCTCTCACTAAGGAAAATCACATGATATGATGTTGAAGGGTGCTTGTTGTTCATTTATAATCACAACACATTTCATCTAAGGCACCTTACGGAGACAAATCCAGCAGATCATCAGTTTGTTTTTTCTTTTTTTCTTTTTTAATTGGTCTAATCTAAGGTTTGACATATTTATTTTTATTTTATTTTTGTATTTAAATATGTTTTTCTTTATAAAATATATATAAACATGATATACAGGAAAAGATATTTACAATATTTATAGAAGATAAGAAATTCATATTAATGTAATTTCAAGTACATAAAAATAAAAGAAAGTAGATTTTCAAAAACAAAAAAGGTAAGTGCATTTAGAATAGAATAGGACATAATAGAATAGAATAGAAAATCCATTTATTGTCCCACAATGGGGCAATTCTTGTGTTTATAGCGGCCAAAAGATTATAGAAAAAAATTGTCACAAAAATGTGGACATTTGAAAAATGTATAAGAATAACATAATAGTGAAGAGTTAACAGATAAACAATAAAATACTGTACTGTAAAGTGTTTTAACAATATAAAACTCTGTACTTGAGGAATAAATAACCAATATCCAGCTATGGACATTTTTACAGTAATAGATATTTTAAAATAGCAGCAACATCAGAGATGTGCAAAATGATAGCAGCATGTTATTTAACTGACTAAGATAGAAACTGTGCAAAAATCAGCATGAATTTAACATCTTATTGTGGGGAACAGTGGAGGTTATAGACCTTACAGCTGCTGGGAGGAAGGATCTATGATAATGCTCCCTGGTGCATTTAGGGTGCAGCAGTCTGTCACTGAAAGAGCTCTCCAATTCTGTAATTTCAGGGGTGAATAAAGTTGTGAGGGCTTTTGGGTAAAGTTTTCTATCTAAGGAAAGCCAGCTGATTGCATCGACTCATTGACTCTACAGCAATCCCTCACACCCAGCATGCATGTAGCGAGAGTGGAGAGGAAAAAAACTCCCTTTGAACAGGAAGAAACCTCCAGAAGAACCAGGCTCAGCGTGAGCCGCCATCTGCTGGCCACCATTTGCAAACGGTTACTTTTGTGGATTACAGATTACAAAACCAAATTAACTTTGGAAAGAAAAACTTCAACCATCAGATTTAAGGAGGCCTTTCTCCTTCCTTGCAAATTGCTGTCGCTTTGAATTCTATGCAAAGAAAAGTGTCCGAAAGTGGCAATTTTTGTTTGTTTTGTTGTTGTTGCTGGTTTTGCGTTTGGTGGCAACACACTATAAAAGCAGTTGCTTGTCTTATTTATTGTGATTTCACTCTTTGCTCTACAGCAGACGGGTCTAGTACAGCTGTCTTCGTCTGTCAACTCCTGCTCTACGTCAGATGACCAGACATCTGCACAACCTAACATGACCATCGACATGAACACGGTGAGCGCTTCACAACCCCATGCAGCGCGTTGCTCTGACTCTGGCTGCTTTCTTCCTCCTACAGTTGAGCTGCAGTCTGTAATGAATATTAGAATCTGTGCACTGCACTGTGCTCATCCACAGAATAAAAACAAGCTGCACTTTTTGTTTTAGCATAGATCCCTGCTAACAACTTTGGTTTGCTACTTGCATGAAAGCTGGAGGGAAAATGAGAATTCTTTCAGGTGCTTTTAGTCAGACACTTAAAACATGCTGGAAGAGGAAAACCTTAAAGTTGCTATTCCTACAGAGCTAAACTAGTTGTTTCATATTAGGTTGCCTTGGTTTTTAGTTCTAACAACCCTTTTGTTTCTCCTGCTTCGTTTTCATCAGCTTCAGTTTTGCACAGAAGTGAAATGTGAGGCGGCTTGGGGTGCAAACATGCTGCAAATAGAAATAAGTACTGAAAACATAAAAATAAGAGTTACTCATGCAAATAGCTGCAAGAGGTCAAAACAACTGCAAGTTAAAGGATATAGCTACAACTTCCTCATCAAAAAGATTAAATTTTTCTAGAATATAACATCCATAGAACATCTAGAGTGGTGCAGAATAAGAGTATTGATTTTACTGAAAAAAAATTACACATAAATGTTTTCTAAATTTTTGATGGGTCCAGAAAATATGTAAATATTAGGGATGCACGATATTGGGATTTTGGCCGATATCCGATATGCCGATATTTTAAAACTCATGTAGCCGATAACCGATATCAATACTGATGTTTAAGCTGGACAAAAATAAGCAGTCATTGAAAATAGCAGTTTTGTTATCCATTTCTGACACTTTGAAAAATAATAAACTCAAATATATTTTCATATGCTGATATCAAATAGATTTTTAAAAACGCGGTATCGATCTATTTTACTTTCAAAATCTCGTGAAATGTCATCGTTCTGTTAAAAACTCTCATGATATTTTACAAATTCTTGTGAGATTTCTTAGTAAAATAGATCGATACCGCGTCAATAGATCAACATATAAAAATATGGCAAAATTTCGTGAATTTTCGGGGGATTTCGTAGCATAACGATGACATATAGCAATATTTTATTGGTAAAAGAGATTGATATGGTGTTTTTAAATGGCAATATATCAGCATATGAAGATTTTGTGATATTTTAATGTATCAATATTTTTTCCCTCTTCTTTAGAAGCTTTTAAGTCTGTAAAAAGAAGTTTTTGAGGAAGAAGAAGAAGTAGTATTTTTTTATTTTTTATTTTTTAGACTTTAGAAACTCAGAAGCTGGTCAAATATCGGGTTAAATATCGGTGCGGTGGCCGATGTCCGATATTCAGTTTTAAGGCCGATACAGTTCGATACCAATAGGGGGCCGATTATATCGTGCATCCCTAGTAAATATTTTTTTGTGGTTATGATGCAAACATTAACAGTAAGGGATTCTGCACCAGTAGGAATAGTAAGCTGACATGAAGGTTAGCTGACATCGCTAGATGCTAGTAGCTCCGAGTGAGAGCTCAGAGTAGTGATGGCTCCAGAAACATCGATGCGTTGGTGCATAAATGGAGCCCATAGAGCAAAACATTATCGCGTGTTGTTTCAATAAAGTCATGTGACCGAAACAGGAGTTGTTAGGAGTTGTTAAAAGAGGAGATGGAAATTCTTTTGTTGAAAACTTTCAGTTTTAGGCAAATATTTTCTTCACAAGACCGATCAGCTATTTCCGCTGCCTGCTTCCCAAATACAGCATTAGAATCGCACTTCACCAGAGGTGGAAAGAGTACTAAAAAATTGTAATTAAGTAAAAGTATGTTTATTTTTCCTAAATTCTACTCAGAGTAAAAGTAAAATTACCCATCTCAAAATTTACTCAAGTAAAAGTACAAAATTACTTCATTTAAAATGTAATTTGAGTCAAAGTTACTTAGTTACTTTGAGTTATTTAATGCAAAAAAGGATGAGTCATGAATCAAATTGAGCACAAGGTGTTTTAATTGATTTCAAGGCGTATTTCAGTGGACATCCACACTTGCAAAAGATCAGCTGGGCTAAGGAACATACTTCCTCACAGCACAAGGTCAGTCACAACCTGAACCATAAACTATTTTCAATCCAACTGTCCAAAAGACAACACCATGATATCTAACTTACCGCCACATTTTTTCATAAATTGGATGTTGATGTTTTAAAAGCCGAAAGCTCCGTTTTGCTGGGCAGGCACATGTTGCACTGCATTATCACATTGTTCCCTTTTGTGCATTTGAAAACAAATAATCCTTCCAAATATGGCCAAGGGTTTTTCTGGCTTTCATCTCCAGAATATGTTTCCTCTTCAGGCCTTTCCTCATCCATACTCCCTAAATTGTGATTAGCAACTGCCATCTTCCGAAGCGCAGCACTGGATTATGAGACAATTGAAAGGGTAATTGCAAGGCAGGGCCACATTTAATTTTTTCACCATCAGTATTTTTTATTTTTTTTACTCAGTAACGTGAGGGGGTTTTAAATGTAGCAAAGTAAAACTACTTAGGTTAAAATTTACTCGAATAAAAGTAAAAATTACATATTTCAAAAACTACTCAGAAAATTACAAATTACTACGGTGGCCCTGAAGTGCAAACTGCAACTACAAATCTAAAAGCGCAACTACATTAACGAAATCGCAACTACATAAAGCAAAGCGCAACTACATTAACGAAATCGCAACTACATAAAGCAAAGCGCAACTACATTAAGAAAAACAAAACTACATAAAGCAAAGCGCAACTACATTAAGAAAAACAAAACTACATAAAGCAAAGCGCAACTACATTAAGAAAAACAAAACTACATAAAGCAAAGCGTAACTACATTAACGAAATCGCAACTACATAAAGCAAAGCGCAAATACATTAAGGAAATCGCAACTACATAAAGCAAAGCGCAACTACATTAAGAAAAACACAATTACATTAACCTACCGGAAAAGGTAGGTACCTGTGGGAAACATGAGACATCGCTGATTGGACGACGACGCCGTTTGACCCTTGAACCGGAAGTCATTCTGCCTGCTGCGGCTTTTGAAAACGTGGATATTGCCGGCGCCCCAAACATAGCTGCCGTTATCCAGGAATATTTTGAATCAGGACATACGTACGAGGTGATACTGGAAATGCTCAAGACTAATCACGAAATTTCAGTTAGTTTACGTACACTGAAATCACACTTAAAAGAAGCTGGACCGTTCAGATGACGCAACTTCCGGTTCAAGGGTCAAACGGCGCCGTCGTCCAATCAGCAATGTCTCATGTTTCCCACTGATACCTACCTTTTCCGGGAGGTTAATGTAATTGTGTTTTTCTTAATGTAGTTGCGCTTTGCTTTATGTAGTTGCGATTTTCTTAATGTAGTTGCGCTTTGCTTTATGTAGTTTTGTTTTTCTTAATGTAGTTGCGCTTTGCTTTATGTAGTTGTGTTTTTCTTAATGTAGTTGTGCTTTGCTTTATGTAGTTGTGTTTTTCTTAATGTAGTTGCGCTTTGCTTTATGTAGTTGCGATTTTCCTTAATGTAGTTGCGCTTTGCTTTGTGTAGTTTTGTTTTTCTTAATGTAGTTGCGCTTTGCTTTATGTAGTTGTGATTTTCCTTAATGTAGTTGCGCTTTGCTTTATGTAGTTTTGTTTTTCTTAATGTAGTTGCGCTTTGCTTTATGTAGTTTTGTTTTTCTTAATGTAGTTGCGCTTTGCTTTATGTAGTTTTGTTTTTAATGTAGTTGCACTTTGCTTTATGTAGTTTTGTTTTTAATGTAGTTGCACTTTGCTTTATGTAGTTGTGTTTTTCTTAATGTAGTTGCGCTTTGCTTTATGTAGTTGTGTTTTTCTTAATGTAGTTGCGCTTTGCTTTATGTAGTTGCGATTTTCCTTAATGTAGTTGCGCTTTGCTTTATGTAGTTTTGTTTTTCTCAATGTAGTTGCGCTTTGCTTTATGTAGTTTTGTTTTCCTTAATGTAGTTGCGCTTTGCTTTATGTAGTTGTGTTTTTCTTAATGTAGTTGCGCTTTGCTTTATGTAGTTGCGATTTTCTTAATGTAGTTGCGCTTTGCTTTATGTAGTTGTGTTTTTCTTAATGTAGTTGCGCTTTGCTTTATGTAGTTGCGATTTTCCTTAATGTAGTTGCGCTTTGCTTTATGTAGTTTTGTTTTTCTTAATGTAGTTGCGCTTTGCTTTATGTAGTTTTGTTTTTCTTAATGTAGTTACGCTTTGCTTTATGTAGTTGTGTTTTTCTTAATGTAGTTGCGCTTTGCTTTATGTAGTTGCGATTTTCTTAATGGAGTTGCGCTTTGCTTTATGTAGTTTTGTTTTTCTTAATGTAGTTGCGCTTTGCTTTATGTAGTTGCAATTTTCCTTAATGTAGTTGCGCTTTGCTTTATGTAGTTGTGTTTTTCTTAATGTAGTTGCGCTTTGCTTTATGTAGTTGCGCTTTGCTTTATGTAGTTGCGATTTTCCTTAATGTAGTTGCGCTTTGCTTTATGTAGTTTTGTTTTTCTTAATGTAGTTGCGCTTTGCTTTATGTAGTTGCGATTTTCCTTAATGTAGTTGCGCTTTTAGATTTGTAGTTGCAGTTTGCACTTCAGGGCCACCGTAAATTACTCATAAAAAGTACTCAATTACAGTAACTTGAGTAAATGTAATTCATTACTTTCCACCCATGCACTTCACCCACAATCTGATGGCATGATGATCCACACTAGCTTCCTACCTCTACTTCCTATTGACTACAGTCAAGTGGAAGGTCTGATTTACATTTCTTTCCACAGTTTGCTCAAAACTTGCACTACATTTGGATGGAAAACAGAGCTACTGACAGATTTTTAGTCTCAGTCCACCTGCCGTTTCCAACAACTTTTGTTTTTTTTAGTAATATTTGGTGTGTGTTTTAAAAGCCTTGCTGATCTACAAGAATAACATTTATATTTATTCTTCATTGTTAAATAGCTAAAGTTCAGTCCAGTGAAAAAGGAGAGCACTTCTAAGCATCTTTTGTAGAGACTTTGACTGGGCCGTTCTAACACATGTAAAATGACAAAATGCGGGGAGATGCTTTTATCCTGGGCTATGAATAAAAAATAAGTCAAAGCAGCGATTCGTATACAGTACGTAAGGAAATTCACACTTTAGAGACCGGAGAAGGAACGCGCTCCCTGTCTGATTAACATGGATGTATCCTCTCGTGTCAGGCTGCCTCCCTGCAGCAGTACCGCCGCAGGGTTGGATCATCTGCCAATCAATCTCCAACCTCTCCTGTCTCCAATCAAGGCTTCTCACCCGGAGGCTCACCTCAAGTAAGGCGGTGTGAGCCGAGGAGCCGATGGCTCACTTTGTGTTTACATCCCCGTCCTTTGTCCCGTATCCCTGTGGTTGTTTTTGAAGCATAGAGCTCTGTCTGCTTCCTTACTCCAGCATAAAGTCAGAATGCTGTTAAATGGCACACACTCAACAAATACTGATAGGAGCAGTTTTATTTAAAAAGCACGTAAACTAATCTCATTGCGTATTTTGAATGTTTTATGCGTTTAGATTCGATACCATGAGGCCTAAATGTGTCACACCAAGGAGTTCATGCTCTGCCTTAACTCTGCTGTAGATTCTCTTCTACTCGCATGTTGATCCGTTTCTGTGGCTCGTTTCAACTTTCATCACTTTGGAAAGAAACAACTAAAATGAAGATAAAGATGGTTTAATATGGGGCGCCGTTTGTAAAGTTAAGTCGTCAAAAACTACAAGCAATATTTATGGCTATTTAGTGTGTTTTAAGAAAAAATAGGGGTAAATTTTTTGCCATGTCATTTTTTCACAGTCATTCATTCATTTATAAAAATCTAACTTTGTTAAATAAATATTTAGTTTGGAGCAAAATATATAGTTTGGAAATTAAATATTTAGTTTGTTAAATAAATATTTAGCTCCAAACTAAGTATTTAGTTTGTTTAATAAATATTTAGTTTGTTAAATAAATATTTAGCTCCAGACTAAATATTTAGTTTGTTTAATAATTATTTAGTTTGTTTAATAAATATTTAGCTCCAAACTAAACATTTAGTTTGTTTAATAAATATTTAGCTCCAAACTAAATATTTAGTTTGTTTAATAAATATTTAGTTTGTTAAATAAATATTTAGCTCCAAACTAAACATTTAGTTTGTTTAATAAATATTTAGCTCCAAACTAAACATTTAGTTTGTTTAATAAATATTTAGCTCCAAACTAAATATTTAGTTTGTTTAATAAATATTTAGTTTGTTAAATAAATATTTAGCTCCAAACTAAATATTTAGTTTGTTTAATAAATATTTAGTTTGTAAAATAAATATTTAGCTCCAAACTAAATATTTGGTTTGTTTGATAAATATTTAGTTTTTTAAATAAATATTTAGCTCCAAACTAAATATTTAGTTTATTAAATAAATATTTAGTTTGTTAAAATAAATATTTAGCTCCAAACTAAATATTTGGTTTGTTTGATAAATATTTAGTTTTTTAAATAAATATTTAGCTCCAAACTAAATATTTAGTTTATTAAATAAATATTTAGTTTGTTAAAATAAATATTTAGCTCCAAACTAAATATTTTGTTTTAATAAATATTTAGTTTGTCAAATAAATATTTAGCTCCAAACTAAATATTTAGTTTGTTTAATAAATATTTAGTTTGTTAAATAAATATTTAGCTCCAAACTAAATATTTAGTTTGTTTAATAAATATTTAGTTTCTTAAATAAATATTTAGCTCCAAACTAAATATTTAGTTTGTTTAATAAATATTTAGTTTGTTAAATAAATATTTAGCTCCAAACTAAATATTTAGTTTGTTTAATAAATATTTAGTTTGTTAAATAAATATTTAGCTCCAAACAAAATATTTAGTTTGGAGTTAGGGTTAGGGTTTAAAAATTATATTTAATTTGGAGTAAAATATATTTATTTTGAAAAATTATATTTAGTTTGGAGCTAAATATTTATTTAAGGCCTACATTCATAAAAAAGACAGACTTTATAAAAGTTCTGTGTATCCCCAACGTTTGCTTTGAGTTAAACCAAATGAGGTCAAGGTTACAACTGCAGAACTGTATAAGTCATAGTTTAAATTAGTGTTGCACCGATACTGATACCAGTGTCGGGCAGGGCCCCGATCCAGCACTAAAATGGGGCTATCGGTATCAGTGAGTACCAACTAATAGGGCACCGATACCATTTTAAGAGCCAAAAGTTGCTTCAACTATTGTCACCCATTCCAGGTAGGCAATAAAAAGTTCTACTGGATTCACTTTGCATTCGTCTTTTTCCTGCTTCAGAAAGATAGGCAGCAGCTTGACAAAGCCATGATGGTAATTATTTTACATCCAGGTAGTCTGCAGTTCTTCATATATACACACACATCAATTTCAAACAGATGGTATCGGCCAATACGGCACAGCCAGGTATCGGGTATCGGGGCCAAAAAAGTGGCATTGGCACAACACTAGTTTAAATAAAGGTCAGACAAGCTTAGGACAAAGAATACAATAACTACAATTTAAATAAGAATGTATTTGACCACATTAACTAATGACAAAACAACTGGGGTGAGAGACATGGGTGAGTATGGAGAGAAATTTGTTCCAAAATTATTAAAATAAAAAATATGTTTCAAAAAAGGACATTTAAAGAAAATCTGTTTCGAAAATACAACTTTAAAAAAAGTTCTTATAAAAAAGTTATATGCAAAAATTTGACAAATATTTTTTGGGTTTTTTTTTTTATATTTTTTTCAAATACTCAATATTACCTATTAATTATTTATTTTTATTTATTTTTAAACAATTTTTAGTCAGTTCTTTTATTAGTATTTGTTTCAGTTTTTTTTCTGTATTTAAAATCCCAGGTTTCATTTTTTACATTTTTAGGGGTGAGACTTTTTTTTTTTTTTTTTTTTTTTTTACGAATTATGTTCTTTATAATCTGTTTAACAGATTTCACCCTCTACACTTCTGGATGGTCTGTGTGTGAACCAATAGAAATTAGTTTACTTGGATGTTACAGCATATATATGATTTAAAAATAATTCAAATCATAAAATTCAGTCCCCTGAGAATAATTTCAAAAATCTATTTCAAAAATGGAAGTTTGAAAATAAAAAAAATAGAAATCTGTAAAAATGTACAACTGTAATAAAATATTGACTGTACTTTTCAAACCAATTTTCTTTGGGTTTCTTTTCCTGAAAGGTGTTCTCTGCTTTTAATAATATTGGAGCAAATGTCTCTCCATAGAAGGGCGTGTTGCTCAGTGTTTGTCCTTATGTTTGTCCTGCTGTTGGCTCTCCCAGCTCTGGTCTGTCTTTCTGCTGCAGGGACCCATCTGTATTCTGGGGTTATTCACAGGCGCACAGAAGATGACTGAGGAGATGATCCAATTACTGATGAGATCATGTTAAAACAGGAGTAGTTCTGCCGCTGGTTCTATGAGGATGTTCAAAAGAGAAATTCAAGTTAACTTTGCTGTGTTTAATATTTTTGGTCCCTTGTCTGTGTGTTTTACATCCTTCTGAGTTATTTGAGACATCTGGCCAGACATTTGTTGAGTCATACAGCTAACGATTTAACTTTTCTTTGTTTATTTGGTTTCTTCACACAAAGAAAATATTTCCATGCAACTTTTCTATTGAAAGAAACTCAGGCTGAGACGACCGACCATGATTAAGCTTTTAAAAGGCGTCCAGAACAGTTTGTGATTCTGACAAAATAAGGATTATTCACCACACTTTCACACTATTCACCAATATGGAGTAAATTATGTTCCATTATTAATGCAACATGTTTTTAAAATGGGAATATAAAAGAACTGGTGCTTTATTGAATACTCCTTTTCACTTTTAGTAGTTTTTCCTTTTTTAAGATCCTTTTGAAATTGCACTTTACAGATCATACTCTTTACACTTTGAGATTAATAAAAACACCCCTGCTTGACCAGCAGACCAATAGATATTCTGTATTAGATGATCTGTTTATTAATCCATTCATCCATCAGCCCATTCATTCATCCATCCATCCGTTCATCTTTCCTTCCATTAAACCAACCATCCATCCGTCCTTCCATTAAACCAACCATCCGTCCACTCCTCCATTCATCCATCCATCCGTTCATCTTTCCCTTCCGTCCTTCCATTAAACCAACCATCCGTCCATTCCTCCATTCGTCCTTCCATCCATCTGTCCATCCGTCCATCCATCCATCCATCCATCCATCCATTAACCATCCATCCGTCCATTTATCCATTCTGCTTTCCATTTATCCGTCCATCCGTCATTCTATTCATCCGTCCGCCCGTCCATTAATCCATCCATCCGTTAATTCATCCGTCCGTCCATCCATCCATCCATCCATCCATCCATCCATCCATCCATCCATCCATCCATCCATCCATCCATCCATCATCCATCCATCCTGCTCTTCCTGTAGTGATAATCAAATCTCCCATGTTAACAGTTAGCAGCTGTCGTAGCTACGTGAACACTCCTCCGTTATTGCAAGATTCAAACTTCTCAGGTTCGTTTTTCTCTATAATATAATTATTGAAGAAAGGGAGCAGCTGTGCCAGAGCTCCTCTCCATGGCTGCTTTTCTCTCCCTTTACAAACCAAGCATCCAGTCGGAGCGAGTCGTCTCTCCGCTTTTGTTCTTTCCATGCACCATTGCTTCTGTTGTTCCGCTTCCTTCCTCGTAACAAGCAGCCTTTGAAGACTTTGGACGGAAATCTAAACAACCAGATGTGACGTGTTTGTCTGTTGCAGCATAACTCCATATTGGGCAGTGTGTTCGCAGACTTCTATGACCAGCAGCTGCCATCCATTCAGGCCAGCGCACTTTCTCAGCAGGTGTGTGTGTTTGCTACCATCATATCGCTGCTTCACAATTGTCATACATGCAGCAGGAATACAACGTGTTTCCCATTACTTCCAGTTGGCGCAATTCAACATGATGGAGACCCCAGTCAGCTCAGACAGCCTGTTCAGCCAGACCTCCACCCTCAACTATTCCCAGGCTCTTATGATGGGGTTGACAGGCCACTGCAACCTTCAAGATGCGCAGCAGCTCAGCTACAGCAGCCATGTCAACATCCCCAACATCATCCTTACAGGTGCTGCTTTGCTCGTGCAGAAATATATGGAGTCACCCCTAATTTTACAGAATTAGCTTCCATTGATCCAGATGTTATAGCACGTTGAAGTTCATCTCTGTCACTGGTTAATAATGGTCGTTTCTCAATTCACGAGTACGTACTCGCGTTCTTGGCGAGAACTCAGGAAGATTGACTTGAAGAGAACGCGAGCACGCAAGCACGTATGTGTATTGGAACAGAAGCGTACTTGTGACGTACATGCAACGTTCTTTAGCATTTCTTTAACAGTCAAAACTATTTATTCCCTACACAAAACATTTTGAAAACAATATTTTTAATTTCTAAAGCTTAAAAAACATTTAAAAAAATCACCGAACCGCAAAAAACCGCCATCAGAACGAGCGGTAGTTCACACATAACTAGACCGAGAGAAGTGCACTACAGACGGGGTAAATTTAGCCCTGGCTGCGGTTACCCTCGGAGGTCTGCTGGTCACTCTGGTCCGCTCAACGTCGGACTTTTTTTTTTTAATTTCGCACTAACTCTGTAAACAGGCCACACAGGGAGGCTTAAATGTATAATGTTATCGCCTCAAACGATTTCAAAACGTACTTTTGAAGAACAACAGCAGCAGAAAAGGGAATGTTTAACTTAACACTGTGAGCGCTGTCTGGAATCAAGCTGCGGCCGCGGGGCATTCTGGGGAAGCGGTCAGTCTGAAGAACGCATATTGAGAAACGCCCATCATCTATTTCTGCCGTCTGCCTCCATGGAAAAGTGATAAAAGTAAGAAAGTATGAGAAAAAAAAAAATGAATAAATAATAAATGAGGCACCAACAATCACTGGGTCACACAGCACAGCGGTATGCTTGAAAATAACTCCTGTTAACACCAATATAGACATGTTATACATCTTTACAAATATTAGATCCCTCAAAATTTAACTGCCAAGGTTATTTTATCCGCTCCAAAGCACAATTAATATAGATATAGCAGCATGTTAAATCACAATTTTTTAAATAAAGCTTCGACTATTATAAATCCAATCCTAGATTGTTTATACTCCATTGGTCCGTATGTACGGAAGCCAAGAGCGGTCATACTCGACTTTATTTTTTTCCTTTGCCTTCCCCGAGATGATGACAGAACTATCTCGTTATCACGGTTAAAAATGAATTGTTTTCTCCAGATAACAAGATAATCATCTCGAGAAAACAGTTATTGATTTCTTGTTGTTGACACAATGCAGAATAAATGTAAAACAATGGCACGTGCCTATTGCCAAGCATGTCTTTGCTACTGCTGTTTTAAATAAGACCTATTATTTTCAAGACGGAAAAAAAAAAACATTAGTCATGTTTGAACTGATGCAGTTTAGGCTGGGTTTCAGTCACACTATTTTGATTTGTATTTTCAGAAATTAGAAGGTGTTAACTTCAAACGATGTGTCACACATGTAATTTTTATCTCTGCTTCTGTCTCCTTGAACCCCAGTCAGCCTCAGCAGATGGCCGCTCACACTGAGCCTGGTTCTGATGGAGGTTTCTTCCTGTTAAAAGGGAGTTTTTCCTCTCCACTGTCGCTATGAGCATGCTTAGTGTGAGGAATTGCCTTCGAGTCAATTAGATAGGATAGAAAATGGATTGAAAACTTTGAATCAATCTGACTGGATGATCTGGGAAATGTAAAGTGCCTTGAGATGACATTGAATTGAATTGAACTAATTTAGGCTTGTAGTTCCTTAGTTATTTCTCTTTCTATTTGGGTATAAAAAGGCGACAATTACCTAAAACTAGATTTTTTTTTGTGTTTTTTTAACATGATAGTTTTTCCTGCTGCAGCAAAGACTTTATAAGAGTAAATAATCCACCTTTTAAGAAATGAAATGTTGTTTTGCTGCAGTGAGTGGAGAGTCTCCTCCCAGCCTGCCTAAGGACCTGACCAGCTCGCTTTCCACAGACATCAGCTTTGATATGGACTCCCAATTCCCACTGGACGATTTGAAAATCGACCCTCTGACTCTGGATGGCCTGCACATGCTGAACGACCCGGACATGATCCTCGCAGACCCGGCCACAGAGGACGCATTTCGCCTCGACCGGCTCTAATTCCTGCTCTCCGCCTCAGCTTTCATTGAAAATCAGGGCCACTCAATCACACCCCATAAAAGTAAGTTTAAGAAAAAGTCCTGTGAGGAAATTAGCATGGAAATGTTCCTGATTGGTTCCTTTTTTTCCACGCCTCTGATTTCTTTTTGGATCCGTTTTTAGATTCCTGGTTAACAGTTTGAGGGAGCTGGATGACAGCAGAACCAGCCTGAAAAGCCAGACAGATTCCAGTACAGCAGCCGGTTCACAGAGCGGACACTGATGACCAGAAGAAACTCAGAACAGGTCCACTCCTCTCAGCCGGGCTTGGTGTTACGCTTTGATCCGGATGGGTTGTAATATATCCCCCCGAGAGGCGCTGAGTCATTACTTTTACTATATTTCTGAAAACAGTTTATCCAAAAAAAAAAATAATAATTTAAACAGAAATCATTTGTTATGCATGAAATCAGAAATCACTGTGGATACTTGTTTTGCCTTAAATGCTTGACGTTTAGTTTTTCATGCATAAAGAAAAAATAACCCAACAGATTCACATTTATTGCGTTGCAAGTTGCTTTGCCTGCAGCATTTATGTCGTCACAACTGCCTAATGCATTAAACCTGGGGGGGGGGCTGTTTAGTTTGGTGAACACAATGTTTACAAGTTTGTTTATTTGCTTTAAAATGTGCAGAATGTGGTCAGATTTTTTTTTTGCGTAACGATATCTATGCAAAAGGACGGACTGTAAAAATGGAGCCATTTGAAGGCGACGTAGAGGATTCCTCTGGAACACATGAGGGTGTATTTAGACAAAAAAAAAAAATTCATTTTTTTAAAGGTTTAGTACAGAAGAAAAAAAAAACATTAAGTAGGGCGGTGGAGGCTGGCTAACAGGTGATGCCTGTCTCTGCCTCTAGAACAGCACTGTTGATGCAATGAGAATGTACCTCGTTTACATCCATGTCTTTGTGTTTCGGTTCTCCTCATTTCCCACTTTTTCTATTTTTTTACTTCCCGTGGAGCCAAATATCTTCCATCTGTTACCTTAAGCTGATTTTTTATCACTTCTATGTGTTTCACAGTGGGTTTGGTTGTTTGCGCTTCATGCATTTGTTGTTTTTCTCTTTAATTTAATGCTTTGGTGATCAGATTGTTCTGTATGTTGTCCATCTATGGAGTGAATTTTGTTCCATTACAGTCCAAAGCATCTTGTTAGACATAAATTTGATAGAAAAAAAAAATAATGAAATGGAAAAAAATGAAGCTTTGAGAGAAATGTCGTTTTTTCCTAGTTGTTGTTTTTAAACAGATTTTATTTTGTTTGAGTTTTCATCTTCAAATGTCTGTTTTTCAGATTGAGTTCCATTAACAACAATTTCTTTTTTTTTTGAAATTGCGTTTCTCAGATCACATTCGCATCACTTTACGACAGAGTATTAGCATGGCTAGAGATTTTTTTTCTTCTATTTCGAGGATAAAGTTGCAAAATTACGAGAATAAAGTCATCATGCAACAACCAGTTTCAGAAAGAAAGCTTGGAGCTCCGCCCAGCAGATGACAGCCGACCAGCTCACCAATCAGTAACCAGAGTCCACTTTGACATCATGCCCAGTTTGATGCTGCTGCTAAAAGATTTCCTGATTTGTAAAACCGATGCTAAAGTATAACTTCACATGATGCTCCACATTCCTCATTTTAGGGAAGAAAGTGCTTCTTGTAGGAGTTAAAATACAACTTTATTCTCGTAATTTTATTACTATTCTCATTGTGACTTTTTTCTTGTAATATTACGAATTTGTTCTCAATTTTAGGACTCTATTCTCGTAATGTTACGACTTCATTCTCGTAATGTTATGACTTTATTCTCGTAATTGTACGAGAATTATTCTCGAAACAGAAGAAAACAAAAATCTCTAGCCTTGCCCTAATATTCCGTCGTACAAGTCCAATAAAAGCACTCATTAAAGCTACAGTGTGTAATTTTCAGCGACATCTAGCGGTCAGACTGCAGACTGCAGCAACATGAACGTCTCCCCCCCACCGCTTCTCCCCCCCAACAGTACGGCGAGCGTTACGGGACAAAATGTCTTCCACGACGTCCGCATCACCTACCTTCTCAAGTGATGAGGTTTGTTTACATAGATAATTTTACAGATAGTATTTCATTAGTCTGTGTAGGGTATAGATTTCATGTAGACTTAAGATAATAAATATACCCGTTATTTTTTCTACGTCGTTGTGACGTTTTGGTGAGCTGCTTTGCATGGTGATATAAACAGACGAAGTAATTGTAGTCATTAGTTTAACAGCGAGATTGTGTTCGCTGGAAGAATATATATTCCCCGTTTACAGAGTCCAAGTCTTGTTTGTGGCACGGGGGTTACAAGGCAAGGAAGAGGGAAAGGAAGAGGGCAGAGAGGCCGGGGTGAGCGTGCAGCTGGGGCCAGGCGAGAGAGGGGAGCCAGCGGGGTGAGAGCAGAGGAGGAAAGGCTTGAAGATCTCCAAAGGAGCCGGAGAGTAGTAACCGAGGTATATATCCAGAAAATTATTTTACAGAAAATTACTGAATCATTACCTGTGAAACGTCAGGGACGTTGCTGAATAAGTATACTGGAGAGCAACAGCATCATCACGCAGCATGTTATTGTTTTAGACAGGTCTGAGCATCCTGTACTCCAAAAACTGCAGTGATATTAGACAATTGTGTGTATAGGATTAATTACCTGTCCAAGAGAAAACTGGCAACTTGAGCGTCACTTTGAAAACCTTTTTCCTCCATCAGTGACTTCCATCGTGTAAATGCCGTGCCAATGTTGATCCGTGTTTTTTGTCGTTTCTTGTCACTCTTGCGTTTATTCTCGTCGTGTTTCCGCTTCTTAGATGACGGGGGTTCGGTGTCCGCCGCTTTTCGTTGTGATACAGAGTAGGCATGATCCTCCATTCGTCTGATGTTTGGCCACACAGTGCCAAACAGTTTGCAAAGTCACTCACGCCTGCCGCCTTGTTTACCTTTCTTGTTACCGAGGCGCAGTATACCTGCTTCTTCTTCTTCTTTGGTTTCAGGCAGACTAAACGCTTCTCAGGCATAATACTGCCATCTACTGTTCAGTACCGTCTCAGTTCATCTCTCTCAACTTGCCGTAGTTATTTTCGAGCGTCATGGGAGATCTCGCAATCGCTAGTTTGTTGCCTCTGCGCTGCCGTAGCGCAAAGATGTCAGCCTCCATGGCTGCGAGACCCGCTCCTATGTAATTATAAATAACGAATTCTAAGGCAACGCAAATGTTATGGTTAAAAGGCTGAGCTCATAGGTGATGATAAATAACATAGTTATGTATAATATATTAAATTTCTGAATTTATATGCCTGTAATTATTACACACTGTAGCTTTAAAATTGTATCTTGTAGCGTCAAGCTGACCAATAGAAATGGTTCCTCACTCCAGAGGAAAGCCATCCCCCCCCACCCCAACCCTGAAGTAAAGATAACGCAATTTTTATAAAATGCATTTATGCATTTATTGCAGTAAAACTAAATAAAAAAAAAGAGAAATTTGAAGAATTCATGAAAAAAAGTGGAAAAATTTAAAGGAATAGTACACCCAAAACATGATTAGCCTTCATTTTCTACTCACCCCCATGCTGAACAACACTCTGGAGTACTTTTTTGATATCTCAAATGCATCTGGAGATCTGGGAGGCTTCTTACTGTCTGCTGACATTCAAATAATGGAGGTCTATGGTGCCCGAGGCAGAAAGGTCCATAAAAGTCCACAAAAACGTGTCAATATTCCTCCATACTGCTCGTCCAATGTATTCCAAGTGTCCTGAGTGGGTAGCGTCCATAATTTACTCAAAACGAAGTCATTTAGAATGTTTTTAGAGCATAAACAGTAGTGTATAGGATTTCCTGAAAGCGCGTTCACGAGTCTACGGAAACCGCGGCAGACCAAACCAGATGAAAGTGCGCATTCAGCGTCTGCTCTGCCGATAATGCAAGCGTAGAAGAAGAAATGTGCTGTTTACCTGTGCAAAGAAAGAAACAACGAAAGAAAAATGTCTGAGGACTTCAGTGTTGAGGAAGAGCATGAGTTCTTTGCCGAGCTGAATGCGCACTTTCATCCGGTTTGGTCTGCCGGCTTCCGTAGCGTCGTGAACTCGCAGGCACGCGCTTTTCGGAAATCCTATAAACTACTGTTTATGCTCTAAAAACATTCTTGTTAAAAGGTTTTTCAAAATTACATTTCTTAATCGCCTTTTTTATTTATCTTACGCAAAATGTGTTCTTTCCAAGCAGCAGTATTGGAACATAATTCACTCCATATGTCTTCACTGTATTCATAGCTTTATGATCCCCCCCCACCCAGTGACTGTTACGATGAACTGGACCTGTTGCCCGTCTTTGTTCAAACTTGTCTTTCTTGAACAGAGTAAGGAGGAAAAAACGTAAAAACCCAGAAAAAAGATAAACTAGAATTATTTTTGAGAAAAAAATTAAAAATCAGGGTAATTTATAAAAAAATTTGTTTTTATTTCAACCAGGTTATATTCTAGGATTCCTGTTTTAAACATTTTGTCATACAGCTGATCCTTCTGCTAAAATCAGTTATCTGGATTTTTTTTTTTTTTTTTCAACTAGCTGAGGACTAATGACAGATAATACAGTTAGAGACGCACATGAGACAGACGTGTGTCTGAATCAGAGCAGCTCCTGAAGTCAACCACAGACTCCACCAGAAAAGTCTAATTGATGTAGGGAATAAAGCTAAAGCTTGGCACTTTACTTAGACACGATGCTTCATCACTGATTGAACAGCTTTTCTGGAGCTGCAACAGTTTTCACTTTGATGTGTCCGTAGGACTCTTTCACTTTTATATGTGGTGAATTTATTTCTATTATTGTTTCAAGCACAGAAAATCACTTTTGTAAATGAAAGTATGGAAGAAAAAAAAGCAACCTAGAAATGAAACTTCAAAAAAACTTCTTAGTGATAAAGATGTTCTTTTTTCTGAGATTGTGTTTTTTTTTCCAATTTTTAAAATGTTTATGTGTATGTATGTATATATATATATATATATATATATGTATGTATATGTACACATTTTCAAATTGCATTTTCCAGATCAAATCTATTTAACTTTAGAAAAAATGCACATGCACAACCCTGTACCCTCTCCCGACAGGGAACGCCTATGAAACGTGTGTGAGAGCGTGCACGAGCCCATTTCTCCTCGTGCACGTTCTGTTTAAAGGTTGCTGTTCTCATAGCTCATACAAGCTGACTGTGTCCGAATGTCCGCCCTAACCCCTAAATGCCTCAATGCGGGGACTATCAGAGATGGCAAAAGTACTCACTTTCCGTACTTGAGTAAAAGTACAGATACTTGTGTTAAAAAATACTCTGGTAAAAGTGGAAGTACTGATTAAACTTCTTTACTTAAGTAAAAGTAACAAAGTACAGGATTGTAAATTTACTTAAAAGTATAAAAGTAAAAGTAGAAACCACTTTTTTCATGCCGTTGCCTACATTTTAAATGGATGTCTGCCAATAGGACTAGATCTCTGTTGTGTTCATTTTCAATCATCTCGTCGTCCATGCTACTATGCTAACGCCACCGCCACCAAACTGCAATGATTTGCCGCGAATGAATACCGCCGTATCTGTCGATTCATCTTGTAGTGGTGAGTCAAATGCAACGTAGATTCCCATCCAATTAGATTGAATTTGGTATTGATGACGTGAAAAATAATAACGGTAACTCCATTGAAATGATTCCAAACTAAAGTAACGAGCCAATTTTTTTAAATGTCAGGAGTAGAAAGTACAGATATTTGTGTAAAAATGTAAGGAGTAG